GTTACATTCACTACTGATTCCCTACTGATAAATAAATAATTTAAAAAAGTAATAATTATTGTACCACTCTCATTATTCAAACTAAATTTTTAACTTCCAAAAGTTCCTCAATCACTGACCTATTCTCATGATTACGTCCACCCCATAACGCGTTATGTGTATTAAAATCACCACAGAATACTACTGTACCCTGTAAATGAGCACAAAGTTTCCAGTGATTGTCTTCCACAAGAATTTTAAGATTTCACCAAGGTGACATTTCCCTCTCTCACCTTTACCACTATAAACTCAAGCTCTGTACCCTTCCCCACCACACTATACTGCCTTCTATTTTTAATTTAAAAAATTGCACACTCTTTACTATTACCTTCTTGTCTATCCCTACGCACGCACTCATACCCCCTAATAATGAAATCCAATCTGGCCTTAGCCATGTTTCCTGAACACATTTAATAAGGGGTCTCCTCTCACTATTCTCCACATAATCTTTAACTCCTGTGCATTTGCCATTAAACTCCCAGTGTTCCATTGAGCAATAATCAGGATACCTTCTCATTTTCCCCACCCAAACCTAAACTCATCTTCTCCTCCAGCCTCTGTTTGTTCCCGGGAAAAAGTACTCTTCTGCTCCTTTCACAGTAATGTTTTTCTTGATCCACACAATTTATGACATACTGTATGCACAGAACACAATCAAATGATCCACAACATCACATTGACTTCATTTATATATTGTTCCCTTCCTCTAGCATCCCTCTGGCCACCATTCACTCCTGGGTTCTGATTTTCTTTGCTGCCTCTGCATAAGAGACACTAATCAAAACCTTCATCCTCTGAATCTCCGCCATTTATTTCCTGACTTGACACTCTCTGTAGGTTACAGCATGCTGCCCTTCACTACACTCCCCACTACACCGAGGGCATATCTGCTTTCCCCTACAGACCGCTGCTACACGCCCATAAAGTTGGCATTTACAACACCGGAGTGAAGGCAGGAAAAACTCTCACGGCTCACGACACCCTCATCTGAACTACACCCGCCCAGGCCTTGCTTCCTAACCTGACAGCTACTCATGCCCTCCTCGCTTCCACTGCTCTCAAAGCGCCCCGACAAGTCACAGATCAGATTATGCCAACCCCCAAGTGAAATCATAGCAATCTTAATCAGAAAATCAAGAGTTTTAAGGTTTTAAATTAGTAGCTCCGCCAGCAGCTTCACTCGCGCCTGAGGACCCATCCTCCTACTCTTCCTCTATCCATCGCCAAAAACCAGACTCCTGTTTTTGTAGGGATTCCTACAAACCCCAGGGAATTCAAAACTAATACATTTGGAATATTTTATTTCTCATTTCAACATTAAAAAAAAGCCTCAGCAATTAAACATTTGTTTCAGCAATCAACAATAACAGCCACTGTCATATTCCACTCACACAAATGGTACAAAGAAATTGCTGCAATTTCAATGCACTGAGACATTTTTAGAACTCTTATGTCACACATAAAGTTTAAATAAATAAAAAATGTTATAAAGCAAAATTATTCAACTGGTAAATCTTTGTGTGACCAACAGTGACCAATTAACTTAAGATGAACTTAACCCGTGTCCTATTTACTCTTGACATCATTACAACAAACTTTGGGGCTGCGAGAAGAGTTGGTTGTTTTTGTGCTCCGTGCAAGGTGTCAAGCTCTGCGTGGAGGCGAGTTTTCAGATGCTTGATCAAGTTTCTGGTGTTATATGTGTTTGTTTTGGATCCCCCTCCTGACAGTTTTGCCTTACACAACGTACAGTTAGCTTTACTCTTGTCACTCTTGCTTACTTTAAAAACTGCCCTACGGCCGACATCCTTGCAGCTAAGCTAGTGGCAAGCGCTTTCTCGCTGCAAACTTTTTCGGAGATCACCATGGCAACATGTGCCACACAGCTGTCTGCTGTCATGACACTAATGTAAATAAATTAAATATATCGGTTCCGGGATCGGGTCCTAGTACAAGCCTATGGTATCGGTGCATCCCTACTTTTTTGTCAATTTCAAGGATCACCAGAGTCAGTTCATTTGGTTTGACAGGCACAGCTTTAAATCTCTAAGGAATCAAATATTGACTTGCGCAGCTCCTGCTGTTAATTTATACTGTCCCATCCAAATAAAATAAATAAATAAACAACACTTTAACAGCTGTAATCTTATTTTCATTTACTTTTTATTTAAAAAACATTATTCATGCATGAAACACGCACCAGGTAAAACCACTGCTCCTGACAGGTTGCCATAATACATTGGAGGTCGGATTAAATGCAGAGGACACATTTGCCGACTGGGACAACAAAGTATACCTTACCTTAGCTTAGAGAGTGGTCTACGAATAAACAGTGGAGAAAGATCTCCTTGTTTTTTGGTACTTTAACAAATAACATAAAAGAAATATCAAGGTGCAAACATCAGTGCAACCGATGGGTCAACATAAAATTTAGACAAAAACAGCAGCTCTTGGCTTTGTCAATTCACATTATAGATTATCAAATCTGTTTGAACAAAAATTGTGATTGTGAAAGTTATTTAGTTATTATTTGCTCTGAGAATATACATGTTCTAAGTTACAAAGTGGCAGAGTGGGCAGCACTCACACCCCACAGGAAGCAGAGTGCAGAAATGGGCCTTTCAATGGAATCTAAGGTTGCATAAGAGTTCATAGAAAACATCCTTCCTTACCCTTTCTTGCTGTTCCCTCTCATTTTTATTGACATTTGTGGCTGAATCTGGAGCTACCCCGTGTCATTAAAGGTAAATTCTAAAGCACACAAAAGGATGAAGGAGTTTTTTTTTTGCTGAATTCGGATGGAGCATGATGCTTCCCCTGCGTCTGGGTGGGTTTCGTCCATTTCTTCTCCTCATCCGTACAGTCATGAAGGAATGGAACCAAAATCTAGACTTGCTGCAACTTTGCTCTCAGAATATGAGGAAAGTCCTTTAAAGAATAAAACAAAATGTCCCATCCTGAAAGTGGACAATGACATGTGACTGAATTACACTATATCTAAGTGGAGATTATTCAAAATGATTATTGATGATATTGATGATAATAGCACCCACGATTATTAACACACAATAGGAAAACAGACTTTTGTTACATGACATTATGTGGAACAGGTTCATTAAATGATCCATCCATCCATTTTCTTCCCCTTAATCCATTTATGGGTCGGGGGAGTGGCAGTCAGAGACGCCACCCAGTCCACATTGCACCAGCCCTTCACTGATCCTCCTGCAGGTGGTGAGTCCACAGGAGGACGGCTGCTCTGTCAATGACACAGCCTTGATCTTTCAGCAGGGGCTTCAGGCAAAGTGGGGTTTAGTGTCTTGCCCAAGGACACAACAACAGCAGACATCAGTGGGAGTCGTGAAGTAGGTCTGGTGTTGGGCTCGAACCCATGACCTTCAGGCTCAAAGGCCAATGCTCTAATTCACATAAAAAGCCTATGTCAAGTCATATTAAGCTGGAGTAGAGATATTTTTCGCATGTTCTGTTTTATATCTGTGATGGGCTTGAGGAAAAATAGTCAATGCTTTGATGAAGACTAATGGACTCCTATATAATAAATAAATAAATCCAATATTGAGCCAATCAGGTCCGTCCGTTCCTGCTGATTGCACAGTGATTACTGGTGGTGATCAAAGACACCACTGAATTGAAACTTGTTATGCTCAAAATGATATGGACGGTACATCATTTGGTCAAATAAAAAAAAAAGGGGCCTGGTCGTGTTCCGAAAAGTACTTTTAAAAATGAACTTCAACAATTACGGAATGCATTTTGGGTTCAATGTTTAGAATGATTTAAATGATATTACTAATTACTTTGTTATTACTTTTGTCGGCCCTCACCAGTGGCTCAGTTGGTAGGGCATTGGCCTTTGAGCGTGAAGGTTATGGGTTTGAGCCCACTGCAAGACCTTCTCCACAGACTCCACTGATGTCTGCTGTTGCTGTGTCCTTGGGCAAGACACTTAACCCACTTTGCCTATAAGGAGCGCAGAAATAATGTTCGCTGCATGCCTTGATGTGTATATGTGTATTCATCAAACTGAAATTTCCCCACTGTGGGACGAATAAAGGACCTTCTTCATTTAATATAACCCAAAAAAAATGCCCAAATAACTGTATCTGTCAAGAACAGCTTTTCTGAGGCCAAGTCAGGGGTGCAACGGGGAGGATGTGAGGAGTTGTCGACTGGTTGTCAACAAGTGTGTATGCATAGGATTGTGTATGCTGGTGCTCAACAAGTCCCAAAAGCTTTAGCCGTCATGGTACCATTTCTGAGCCCAAGTGAGGGGTGGAAAGAAGGGTATATACAATTTATCTGTTTACAATATTGAAGCAGATTGCCTGTAGGCGGGCACTGCTACTTTAAAAATGTGGAGAAGAGTTGTGAGCCGTGTACGTGGCATTAATGTCAACTGAACTGATTAATCTGCTAAACATATTATGGAAATTAAATGGAAATCATGTATCAACTTGTAGAAACAAACCTGCTTCTGTCTACTCACAACAGACGGTTGCGACTTCAATTTATGCTAAAGTAAATTTTCAATCAGTTTAGTTTATTAAATTATTTTACATTGAAGCCCATTGCCCTTGCCTTGCCACAATATTTCTAGTGATTATGATTTTTAATAGTAATGCTTAAAATGCCTTGAGGTTAATCAGGAAGCTTCATTTTTGGGCTAAGTTAGTAAGTAAACAAAGACACATCTATGTTATGTGACCAAAAACAAATACTAGTTTGCAGACTCTAGCTACACAAATAATCTCTGCATCTTTGTGGGAAACCATGATCAAGTTTCATCAAGTGAAACTAAACCAGTCATTTTGGAATTCAGAAGAAACTCCTCTATTCAGGTCATTTCAAGAGAAAAATGTATCAGTCCTAATTCACTCTACCCAAGAATCAGTTCAATCAGTAATCCGTTCTTTCTCCGGCCAGTTCACCTCATCACGATTTCACAATGTCCGCTGGTTCATGCTGTGGCCCTTTCTGTGGCTCTTGATGTGGATCTTGCTTTGGCTCATTCGTCGTACTTTCCTTGGGATTGGGGGCTTTCTCGATGCTGAAATCACAACACGACACAGCAAGGTGAAAAAATGACACATATGGCCAATGTCCATGCTCCAACCATCACTGTCAAACAAGGCAGAGCTATACAGGATGTATCTGCAGTAGAAGAACTATATGCTCTAAATACTATACTAAAAAATGTTTAGAACATCTGAAATCTTAACATGGATCTTAACCAGTGTTACAAAAGAGATATTTCTTCATTTTGTTTTCAGCCAAATCATTTGTGCCATTGGTCCGAAAGCCACAGTGAGTTTGTGGATAGGGGAAACGACTATAACATTATCAAAATAATAATATGTGAAACATGAATAAATGTGAAATGTGTCTCCTCAATTTCTCAAGTTTTTCCATCAACATAACCATGAAAGTGAATGTGAAGAGTGTCTCGGGCGGAGGAGAGGAAAAGTGCTGACACACTGAATCTGGAATGGTACTTGGTAATATTCTACACTTTCATTACCTTACCACAAGGAACGATTTTATTGTAATGTTGTAGTCCAGAGCCCTGTACCTGAGCCACTGTGGATATAGAAATTCATTTCAATTCAATTCAATACAGCGCGAGATGTATACAGCTGCTACATCTAAGGAACAAATAGTTCATGACTTTGGGGATCACTGGATTTCATCTCTGCTGTTTGTGGATGTTGGCTTCATCAAATGAGCACCTTGTGTATATTCACTTTGGTACTTTTCAGACAGATGTGAAAGGATGAAAACCCTTGGTTAATCCAATATTGGTCAGAATGACCATTTTGCATTGCTCGTGATTGGTCAAAACAGATAGATATAGAGTGGTTGTTTTAAACAAAGGATCTGTCAGAAACATTTACCAACTTGCTTGGTCAGAAACAAGTTTTATTGTGTTATTCAGCTACATGGCCTCAGGACTCCAGTAGTTTCTAAGTAATGCATTCCACAGTAACTAAGCAGAATATACAGTACAGACCAAAAGTTTTGACACATCTTCTCATTCAAAGACTTTTTATTTTCATGATTATGAAAATCGTAGATTCACACTGAAGGCATCAAAACTATGAATGAACTCATCTGGAATTATGTACGTACTAAAAAAAAGTATGAAACAACTGAAAATATGTCTTATAATCTAGGTTCCTCAAAGTAGCAGCTTTTGCTCTGATTACTGCTTCGCACACTGTTGGCTTTCTCATGATGAGCTTCAAGAGGTAGTGACCTGAAATGGTCTTCAACAGTCTTGAAGGAGTTCCCAGAGATGCTTAGCACTTGTTGGCCCTTTTGCCTTCACTCTGTGGTCCAACCCCAAAACCATCTGGATTGGGTTCAGGTCCGGTGACTGTCGAGGCCAGGTCATCTGGCCCAGCACCCACCACTCTCCTTATTGGTCAAACAGCCCTTACACAGCCTTGGTGTGAATCTACAGTCAACAGTCATGAAAAGAAAGGAAACTCATTGAATGAGAAAGAGTGTCCAAACTTTTGGTCTGTATTGTACAGTATGTAGCTGTAGTGTTTTTTTGGAAATCTTTGAGGACAGAGCATTAACAGAGTAGTACAGAAACACTTTGGAAGTTCAATCTTTTTTATTTCTCTTCCGATTGTTGTGTGTCCTATTTAGGCTAACGCACACTCAGGTCTTGGGGGGGGGGGTTATTTATGGTCCTACCTTGTGCACACACGTCCATGCAACTCTGTCGTGTCACAAAGTTGTTACTGCTGCCCCCGCAGCCCGAGTAGAGGAACTGCTCACACATGCGTGATGCTGCGTTGTAGTAGAAGCGTGGGATGGAGGCGGAGCACGTGCCTCTGTCCAGAGCGTCCCGACACAGCACAGGAACGTCTGCACACAATGACATGCACTCATGTACTGTAAGCAGGAGGTCCCAACTGCAGCGTTGTTCAAGCCACGTCCTTCTATTTAGAAAAGTGGGAATAATAATATAAGTATCTTTCCATAATGTGTTAATTTGGTGCTATTATCCAAACCTAAAGATATTATTTTCACTTTCAGGAATTTGATCATCATTATGATTTCAAATGGTTGGGAACCTATGTCACTCTGTGGAAGATGTAACGTTTTTCAAAGAATTCACCGTAAGCATGACCCACAAATGTTGAACCTTATTGCTTTGTAATTAGCGTTTGCTTCAGCCAACCCCCTTTCCAAACCTTATGTATTTATTATATTATTCTGTTGTAAAATCATGTTAATGCTGTTTTTTGGAATAAACAAATAAATAAAATGTATGGTCAATCGACTTCACAAACTTATACTGGCCCAATCAAAGATTTAAAAATTCTGGTTCACAAACTCTCCGGAGATTGAGCTTGAGCTGATCTGCAAAGCTTTTAGAAACATGCCCCAAAAGACTTGCATCTGTAGTTGGAGCACTGAGAGTTCCACAAAGTAACAGGCTCTGGCCTGAACACTTTTGAAAGCCATACTTTTCAGTTATTTGTAAAAAATGAATGAATACAGTTATGTATCAATTTCTTTTGAGTTGCTTGTTCACATAAAATATCATGTAACACTGACATTGAAATGTTCCCACTGCAGGGACAAATATCTATCTTATAATACCTCGTATATTTGAAGGCAGCGTGTCTGTTTTATGGTCCTGGGAGGACACTATACGAATGAAATACTCACTTAAAGCCAACGTACATCAAATCACGGCGCACAGCAGTGTGTGATTGACACTGCTGTGCGCCGTGATTTGATCACATGCCAAGAGCCTGTCCATGAGCCTTTAAGACAGGTGTGCAGTTTGAAACAGATGCTTTCACCAACACACAACTGCCACCGCAACAGATACAGGGTGAGGCTGTGTGAGGAGAGGGAAGGGGCTTTAATTTCATTTTCATCCCTCTTTTATGAGTCCACTCCTGCACCTGCACTCTGTGATCCTTCAGCAGGTGGGTCCAGGGGAGGACGCCTGCTCTGTTACGACTACACAGCCTTGGTCTTTCAGCTCTTGTTCTTGCCCAGGGACACAATGACAGCAGACATCAGCAGGAGTAGAGGTCATGGCTCGAGGGGTGATCGAACCCATGACATTGATATATCAGAGGATCAATGCTCTACCGTCTGAGCCACTGTCGTCTCTGTAATGAGTTTAGTGACACTAATGTTTCTCATGATGTCCTTTCACAGGGATTCCTGGACAAGAGCTTTGTTTCCTCTGCCAAAACTTTACACTGGACAGTGACTGACCTTTGCGGGGGCTGCACATGTCAGAGCAGGCTGTCAGGTGGGGGAAGCGGTTGGCGTTGCCATGACAGCCTCCATAGTAGAAGGGCTCACACTGCAGGGAGCTCATGTTGAAGAAATAGTTCCAGAGCATAGCCCGACAGGGGCCTGGGTCCCGGGGTAGACGGCAGCTCCAGGGGACCTCTGCAACACACACACACACACACACACACACACAAAAGGATGTTTAAACACACAGGCTTACAATTGTTAACCATAGTTGTACAGTGGTTTCAGTAGGTTCATGCACCAAAGTGCCCAGCCCGCATGGTCTTATATGACACTCAAGCAACAAAGTCAAATGGCTGCAGACCATATACACACATGAACAAACAATATTTCATTGTAAACATCTCATACAGGATACGTAATCTGTTGTCTCCTCTCCCAGGCTTTAACGACAAAAGAAGCAAAACTTCATTGTGATACAACTGAGTTAGAAGCATTTACTCTTTCATTTATTTAATAAATATTAAAATATAGACAACAATGCAAAACAAAATGTGGCTCATCCTCTACCACCCCCATGTCACATACTGCACTGATGCTAATTGTCAGTTTAAGAACTTTTGTTATACCAGTCTCCACTGACCATGTGTCAGTGCCCCAACTTTAAATGGAGGGTAATAGCAGTTTAGATTTAGGTTCACTTTAGAGCTGGGCTCTGTACTCTGGAGATAAGATGGAGCACTCCCCTTGCCTTTTTCATTATGAACATGGATTTGGCTTATGCCTTGCTGTTTTGATGGTTTTGTTTAGTTAAGCTTTATTTCCTTTCATGAATTCAGCTCAACCATAAACTTGATCTGTCACATTTTCGCCCCAACAAAAGGAAGCTGTGCCCTTGTGGATCTTATTCACTGTATAGGCCTTTACTCAACACGCACACATTAGGGAGGGGCGGTGTAAGGAGTGAAGAATCTGTAGGTCCTCTCCCTTTCACACAGAAAACGCCTTCCCTCAGGAACACCACCAGTGAATTACTAACTTTATGTAAATACAAGTAGAAGAGAAGATATTTTAGCTTTTGTATCATAACTTAAATAGTACTAATTAATTAAATGGTTAATGTATGTTTAATCTGTCTTTTGAAAATGGTCAAATATACCCACCAAACAGATAGTGTGTAGTTGTCCAAATTTCAACATTTTTCAACATGCAGTCACTTCTCACAAGTTCTTCAAACTTAGAAGAACAAAAACAACAAAGTTGAGTTTTTACACCTTAAATCCTATTCTCCCAGACGCCTGGCCTTGGAGGCTTCTGACGCTTGGCCCTGGAGGCTTCTGACGCTTGGCCCTGGAGGCTATAGATAAACAACTGCATCCTTACACTGGTTCTTCCACAATAATGTTTGCTGCAGTAGTAACACCTGTGTTTAGTACTGATGAAGGGATAGAGGAAAACAGGATCGACTGCTCCGTGGCCCTTACTATGTTGCCTGAGCGAGATTAGCCACCCACTGTGGAGGCCACACAACAGCAGATATACAGTGCCTTGAAAAAGTATTCGGCCCCTTGAACCTTTCAACATTTCGCCACATTTCAGGCTTCAAACATAAAGATATAAAAAAAAAAATTTTTTTGTCAAGAATCAACAAGTGGGACACAATCGTGAAGCGGAACGAAATGTATTGGATAATTGAAACTTTTTTAACAAATAAAAAACTGAAAAGTGGGGCATGCAATATTATTCGGCCTCCTTGCGCTAATACTTTGTAGCGCCACCTTTTGCTGCAATTACAGCTGCAAGTCGCTTGGGGTATGTCTCTATCAGTTTTGCACATCGAGAGACTGGAATTCTAGCTCATTCTTCCTCGAGCTCAGTGAGGTTGGATGGAGAGCGTTTGTGAACAGCAGTCTTCAGCTCTTTCCACAGATTCTCGATTGGATTCAGGTCTGGACTTTGACTTGGCCATTCTAACACCTGGATACGTCTATTTGTGAACCATTCCATTGTAGATTTGGCTTTATGTTTTGGATCATTGTCCTGTTGGAAGATAAATCTCCGTCCCAGTCTCAGGTCTTTTGCAGACTACTCCAACAGATTTTCTTCCAGAATGGTCCTGTATTTGGCTCCATCCATCTTCCCATCAATTTTAGCCATCTTCCTTGTCCCTGCTGAAGAAAAGCAGGCCCAAACCATGATGCTGCCACCACCATGTTTGACAGTGGGGATGGTGTGTTCAGGGTGATGAGCTGTGTTGCTTTTACGCCAAACATATCGTTTTGCATTGTGGCCAAAAAGTTCGATTTTGGTTTCATCTGACCAGAGCACCTTCTTCCACATGTTTGGTGTGTCTCCCAGGTGGCTTGTGGCAAACTTTAAACGAGACTTTTTATGGATATCTTTGAGAAATGGCTTTCTTCTTGCCACTCTTCCATAAAGGCCAGATTTGTGCAGTGCACGACTGATTGTTGTCCTATGGACAGACTCTCCCACCTCAGCTGTAGTTATCTGCAGTTCATCCAGAGTGATCATGGGCCTCTTGGCTGCATCTCTGATCAGTCTTCTCCTTGTTTGAGATGAAAGTTTGGAGGGACGGCCAGGTCTTGGTAGATTTGCAGTGGTCTGATACTCCTTCCATTTCAATATAATTGCTTGCACAGTGCTCCTTGAGATGTTTAAAGCTTGGGAAATCTTTTTGTATCCAAATCCAGCTTTAAACTTCTCCACAACAGTATCTCGGACCTGCCTGGTGTGTTCCTTTGTCTTCATGGTTCTCTCTGTGCTTTAAACAGAACCCTGAGACTATCAAAGAGCAGGTGCATTTATACGAAGACTTGATTACACACAGGTGCATTCTATTTATCATCATCAGTCATTTAGGACAACATTGGATCATTCAAAGATCCTCACTGAACTTCTGGAGTGAGTTTGCTGCACTGAAAGTAAAGGGGCCGAATAATATTGCATGCCCCACTTTTCAGTTTTTTATTTGTTAAAAAAGTTTAAATGATCCAATAAATTTTGTTCCACTTCACGATTGTGTCCCACTTGTTGTTGATTCATGACAAAAAAATTCAGATTTTATATCTTTATGTTTGAAGCCTGAAAGGTGGCGAAATGTTGAAAGGTTCAATACTTTCGCAAGGCACTGTACATTATTGATTGGAAAAAGAGAAGGTTCTTAGCCCCTGCTAACATTTGAGGCGAATGTATCACTGCCCCAATTATTAAAAATGAAAGCAAGCACAATAGTGCACAGGTGTGGTACAGGACCTGGACATCTTCCACCTCCCAAACAAATCATGACACATTATGAGGTAGAGCAAGTTTGTAAAGCGGCGCAAATATGAGGTTCAGAAAGCCATTCTCTCACTTGAGTTCCCTTTTCAAGGGCCAAAAGCTGCAACTTTCACTGCACTTGTTACTATCAGAGTGAGAGACATACTTGGGATCCTGAAGCAGGTCTTATGGCACTCCTGGTACGTGCGGAAGTTATTGGCATTGCCCTGGCATCCTCCGTAGTAGAAGCGCTCACACTTCTGGCTCAGTGTGTTGTAGTAGAAGCGCTGAAGGTCGCCGCGACACGGGCCCTCCTCCACCGGCAGCAAACACACTGCTACACAACACAAGTCTGTCTTTAAAAACACGGTTCAGGTACAATAGATGTAGGAGCACTTTGTGTGATCAATCAGAAACCGCAGACAACAACAGATTCTCTGAATCTGAATGAATCCATTTCAAATATGACCATTGCACATGATTATACCATTAATAACACTGAAATAACTGTTATAATTTAACTAAATTATATATTTTGTTAAATTCAGCCCTAGTTTTAATTTAAGTCTACCGGGATACGCGGAACAGTACAAGGAAAGTGCAGACCTCTGCCAAGCAGCACAGTTCTTCCACAGAGATTCCCTTTCATATAAACTGGCTCCATGTGGTGATCCGGATCAATTCCAAAATCCAAACGCTTGTCCCTTGTGCCACAGCGGCTCTACTCTGAGCTCCACCTATCTCGTCTAGCTGCACTGTAATATCTAGGTTAGCTATTTTTACAAACAACATTTGTTTTATATTGGCTCAATGCAACAATTTTGACGATGTCCTGTGAGAGTGTTTACATTACTTTCAAAGTCAAATGTTACAATCATATAATGATGATATTTACACAGTGTTTGTAAACTTCCAGTAACCTCTGAGCATTCCTTTTATTTCAGCAGAGCTTTGCAGAACAGGACTGTGACTGATGGCCTTCAGACAGAAGCCAACTCAAGTAAACATTTCAGATTGTATTAACTCTAATCTGAATTCATTGAGTTTTGTTGAGAAACCAATTGATCTTTTTTTCTCAAACAGTTTGTATTTTTAATGTTTGCATGCTTAGATTTACTCACAGTTCACACAATAATGATGAAGTTCATTTGATTGATCAGACAAGCTTTTCACATACAGAAATATGTCGTTAATATTAGCCCAGTGTGTAGCCCATATATACAGAAAGTCCATACAATGTTTGACATTCTTTAATACTTTTACAATATACAATAACAATTTTACAGAGAATCTTTCCCCTATATGTTTTCAATTCATTTCAATGTATTTTGTATGGCCCTAAATCACAAGAGCAGTTGTCGCTTCCCCATTAACAGATCAGAGAATCAAACAGCTTGAACACATGGAAAGCAATAATAATAGAAGGAACAGGCTAGCACCTACACCTGATCCACTTTTACAAGCTACAACATGTTTGAATTTCAAAACAAACTGCTGTGTGTTTTGTTTGTTGACTTATTCAGATTCATCACTGAGGGGATCTGCATTTGCGTGTAGTGCCTCGCCTTAAGACAGGTCCAAACCAAGACTGACACGTCTAAACTAGGTCATACACGCCATGTAAAGCTGCTCTTATTCAAAAGAAAGTTAGAGTGTCCCAGACTTACCTGTGTGCCGCAGTGAGAGCAGGCGGCCCAGCGCGCACACCAACAGGGAGACTTGGAGCCAGCGCTGCATCTTCACGACCTGCGTCAAAGCGCAGGACTTCGGCACAAGTTTATAAGAGAGAGTCACAGGCGAGAGGAAAGTGGGGCGAGGCGGGGTCAGGACGGGACGGGACGGGACGGTAAGGGGGGTTGTCCCACCCACGCACTAGAGTGTAGTCTACGCACTTTACGGTACGGCCCATTACGTCACCGTGCACCCCAGTCTATGTGCACTTGAACCATAGACTATACGAGTCATAATAAAGTGGCTCCAGAGGGTGACACGGGGCTGCGTCATCTCCCCGTGGCCCTCAAGATTCATCCGCCGGGGACAGCCAAGGCCTCTGAAAAACTTAATCTGCGCGGAGGTGTTTGGAAGAGCAACATTTGTAGAAGCCATCATCTTTAGAAGTATTTTTATGTTAATGGCACTTGTTAAGGTCCCATATTTTTTGCTTTATTTTTCACTTTAACATTCTATTGTATTGACATTTATCAACATTCATGGACATTGGTCTCTCCTTATGAACCAATACATATGTGTATTTTCTGTGTCTTAACTGTTGATTCTCTGATCTGTGTTGGTGATTTCAAGGATTTAGTTAAGTCCACTGAGATGACTGCTGTTGTGATTTAGGGATATACAAGAATACATTGTATTGTATTGTAAATTCTTGCCACAGTCCATTTCTGGGTCCGGGGGGTTGCAGTCAGAGACAAACAGCTTAGGGTCAAGTGTCTTGCCCAAGGACACAACGACAGCAGTCCTCAGTCGGAGTCGTGAAGTGGGTCTTATGATGGGCTCGAACTCACGACCTTCAGGCCGAAAGGCCAATGCTCTACAGACTGAGAGCATTGGCCTCAACACAATACACAATATGACACTCAAAGCTTGTGAAAATACAGAATCTTTGTATAGAAGTGCACTTGTTGTCACCTTCATTGATGGATCTGTGCTCGTCTGCTTGTTAGCCCGCCCTCACCTCCACCGTGACGTAGCCTCACGTAACTACGAAATAGATAACTCCACTGTTCAGGTTTTGCCAGTACATAGTTATTTCAGACTTGAGAATACACTTCGAACAACGACGACCCGTAACATAAAGCCCCGTGTCCATGAGGCTCCTCGTTTGCATCTTTTATTGTGGGAATAAAACCAGGTTTCAAGATCAGCTTTTCTTTTTGAGGTACTGTAGTTCTGCAAGTCTTTGGTGAAATGTCACTTGCCAAAAACCCATTTGTCATGGATTTCAGTGGCAGATCCCCGTAAATAAAGTTGGGCAACATTCATCTGCTCAGTCTTCTACCAGCACAGAACCAACGGACACAAATACCAAGGACAGAACTGGAAGGCCAGCCCCGGCCGTCACACAGATAAAAGTTCTAAAGCCTATTCCTTCTCCCCCTGCGGTGCTTCCTCCGGGTTCCTTGGAATGTTCTGTGAACCAAGACTGCTCCATGCAGACTGGATGTGTTAGGATTTTTTATAAACCTCCAGAACATATCATTGACCATCATAAAATGTTAATGGGTTTGGCAAAAAAATGGTTGGAGAGAGAATATAGGGACATGGGGGCTTCAGGGGTCACTATTAGGAGCCACATCATTCCTTATAGTTCAATGAAATATGTAATATTCCAAAACTAATTATTATCTATTTATCATCTATATTATTGTCTATTTGTGGATGACACTAATATTGTATGTTTAGGAACCAGGGACAACTTTTGCTCCAGGTATCAGGGTAAATTAACACATGTGGTTTTAAGTGATATAGTCTGGACTTCGTCAGAAGAAAGAGAGAGAAGGACATGATTTGAAAAAAACGACCTTAGCTCCCTCCCCCTTCCTTTCTGATTGGTCTTGAAGCCGTGCCTACTTTTCCGTGCACGCGCCAGGTCTATGGGCCAAGACGTGCGGAGGGGACATAGAGATTTTTTATTTAAAAATGTGAATATTTAATCATAATTTGTAATGTAATTTCAAAACGTTCCACCGATCATTATTTCTTGATAATGGACCTCTCAAACCAATAATGGCCGCTGCCCTTTGGCACCGCACTCTGTGCTTGTACTTCAGGTGTAAAATACTAAGATTACTTTCGACAGAAGTTTGAACACTTTGTCACAGTGGGTTTTCAGCGTCTGTCACTTATTACTTCTGTCTGAGTGAGAGAAGCTGTCAAAGCTAGCCACGCTCAATAACACAAATATCAATCAATCAACACATTTAAATGTGAATCAGAGAATACATTATACATATACATTCTTAACACACATGAACAGAGGTTTTCAGAATTATCTGTTCTTTTTTTCATGACAAAAATACTGTTTTAATGCGCCAAAAAGCGATCGCAGTAAACCCTAAGTAACTATAGCATTAACATTAGTAGAACATTTTGGACACATTTGCGGAGGATCTGATTATGGATTTAGGTTAAGTTTATATTTGGGTCACTCACCGCTGATGTTTACAATTCTTTGTTCAGTTTTCATGTAGATCCATAGAGTTCTAGTTTTGAAGTTTTGAAGTAACCTTCTTCAACCTACTGTAACTACTTGTTAGCCGATGTGGCTGTTACCCGTCCAGCCACATCACGGCGAAACCTTTGGGAACTAACTATTCTTTATATATCATTTAAAAAAGATAATGCCCATTACAGCTTCGAATATTAAGGGCTGTCTAATATTTGTTTGAATATATAAATACATATTTATTATTTGAGTTATATACTAGCGCGAGCATGATGATTGACAGCCCTTGGCATCACTTTTTAGAGATTTCATGACACTTTGAAGGAACTGTGGTTAAAGCTCAAACTTCTCATCCATATGCACAAGCCAGTACTTTTCCTTTGTTTTGGTTCTTTCAAGGTTGAAGCTACAAGCACAGTGTGGCAAACGCTGATGGGAGGACTCCATTCCTCCGCTGTATATTATCACTTGCATTTTGTAAAATCCTTGTTCGTGTTCATGCTGTCTACCAACAACAATAAAACATGTCTTCTGTCTGAATTAAGGACACAATCCCAGACTTTGTCATCTTCTTGATTGGTTAAAGTGGACGGCATCGTGATTTTTAGCTATAGCTAAGATAAGGGAACTTACCCGTAATATCATAATTCATAAAATGACTTGTTTTATATCAACATTTAAGGCCAGGAGGTCAATTTAATACAATTTTTAAAATCTGTATTTCATTTAGAGTTCCAGACTATCACTTTAAAGAATTGTCACATTGCCACAAAATGTATACGGAGAAGAACGTGTAGAAAGGAGAGTGATGCTCTCAGCGCAGAGCGAGGACAGTTAAGGCGATACATGCAATGCTTATATGATTTGTTTTGTGATAAAAATGGTTCCATAATGTTTGTGGTGAAAAGTGGAGTTGGCTGGACATCTCAGAGTCTGTAAGTGTCAATGTCGCCCTGCAAATAAGTTCCTGAAAACAGTATCTTTATGTACTGATTCCAGTGGTGTTTGGGGTCATTTCCATAGTTGGATAAAATGTAGTTTAGAGAAAGGATAGTTTAGAGATTGTTTGTCACTGAACTGTCAAACTAAATGTTACCAAACTTAAGAATAAACAATTAAATAGGTGGTTTCAGACTAGGAAACACCATAGCTTTGTGGTTTATGCAATAAAGAATATCTAACAGATGCTGATATTAGTAAAGAGGGGAGGGTTCACAAGTTTACAAGCAACAAAAAATGTTTCATCTTCTCGAAACTGGTTAAAAAAACAGGGACCCACCCAGTACAGCCCAACTTCATTCTCTCGGTGCCAGTAAAACTGAACCCAACATACAATTATAAATATAGTCTATGCCTGATATAGTTTTATTGTCTTCACGGTTTATTTTTACATTATTGTTGGTGTGAATGAGTGTTCTGCTGCGGTTTTCGGAGCAGGATGCACTTCCTGTCTGCACCATGAGGCCAGAGGCCAGTGGTGGCTCCGGATGTTTCCGGAGGAGGGGCCTGAGAGCAGTGCTTTGGCCCTCATGTGTGGGAAGGACTGGTTTAAGCTGAATCCTAACTTTACATTCCATTTAATTTGTTTCAGATCATCATGGTCCACAAGTCCAGGTACAGAGACAAGGGTCTCAGACTTAGGACTGGTCCACAGGATCAGGGCAAAGTCCAGGGTTTCAGACTGAGCCTGAATGCAGCCCACTCAGCCATTGTGTTTCCACCCCCTATTTCTATAAAAGTGCATTTAAAAATGCCGAACGATGCCTTTTGTGTTTGTGATTTTGTCAAGATTGACTAAATTACAGCAATAACAAAAACTACTTAGAAAAAAACGTTTAGGCATTTTTTGCCACATGAATGCAATCAAAAGACCCTGGGGGTAATCATACAACCCATTTTTGACACTCAAAGACGTTCCACAGTATTATTCATTCACTCTGCAGTGGGGGTACAATGAATGAACACAAGGCTATGGTCTCCCATCATAGTTCTAACCAGGCCCTGCCCCGCATCAAATCGACATTACCCATGTTCCAACAATATTCTTCTTATTCTTAGATCATTAGCCTGTCCGTCCGGAGGAGCGGATCCCTTTCTCATATGGGTCTCCCTCCCTGTGGGTTTCCCTAGTTCTCCCCAAGGTTTCTGTCTTTTTCCCACTGGGTTTTTTAAGAGTTGTTCCTTGTCGATGCAGGAGGGTCTTGTTGGACAGTTAGTGTCCAACAGAAAGGATTGGTGATGATCAGGACACTTTAGCATTCTACAGCATGTATGGACATTTTCTTCTGTGTGTGCTTTATATTCTTCATGTGTTTTAACTGTTGATTCTCTGACCTGTGTTGGTGATTTCAATGGTTTTGTTAAGTTTCTGAGATGACTTCTGTTGTGACCTAGGGCTATACAAGAATACATTGTATTGTATTGTATTCTTAGATCCATCCACGCTAATTTCAGGAAGTTCTTGCACAAATATTTAACATCTATGTTTTACCTTTGAGACATGTTTCACCATATATAATTTTTGTAAGAAAGTCTCATTCTTATTTTTAATGGCTAAAAATAATACTTCATTATTTTTTCTTTAGTAAACTAAATATGTTGGGACTAGTTATTTTATATTACATTACACTACTGCTTTGGTGTCTCCTTCTTTGTTTTTGTTGTTTTCTCCATAATGGAATATAATTTATAACATGAAAATGTTTTGTTTTTATTACCATTCGAGTGCATGCAACATTCTTACTCAGCACTTTGGCATTTTGATTCAGTGAAAGTATTTGTGCTTTTGTGCTATTCTTGGGTCAAATTGACCTGCCATAGTGATTAAAAATACCTTCAAAAACATTCTTGAGAGCTGAATTATCCCAACTTAACCAGCCATGGGCCATTTTTTAATCACTATGGCGGATCATTTTGATTCGAGGGGTCACACAAGGGTAGTCTTCTGACACCATATTGAAAATGACACCTTTCCTGGTGGTTGACATGTTATTTACCAACGACCGTACAACACACCCTTTAAATCAGATGTCTCCAACCTTTTTCACCCAGAGAGCTACTTTCTTGTGACAATAATGGCAGAGAGCTACTCCTTTAAGCAGCCCTGGGAAAAATGTGGTGATATATTGGTGTGAACTTGTCTGATATTGGGCATAACATTATTTATCATCACATATCTGTTACTATAGTGCACAAAGTAAGTGCATTTACAAGAATATAATGAATAATACAGTCTGAAATAGTTAGTACATTTTATATTTTGTACATTTCTAAATTCTTTGGCGAGCTACCTGGAAGGATGTTGCGTGCTACTGGTGGCTCCCGAGCTACAGGTTAGAGACCCCTGCTTTAAATATTATGACAGAACTATGTACATGGTTCTTCTTGGACTTCCGGGACCTCTAGCTGCATGTGCGTAGTTACACCAACATAATATTTTGAGCAACACGTTTTAGAAGGCGCTGCTGAAGGAATCTTTGATTAATTGTCATCACTTTAGTATAAACAATAGTCCTGTCCGTAATTGGGATTGATCTTGTGGATGTATGTAGGTCACAGAGTTTGATTCCAGCCCTGTCTGCTCTGTGGGAAAATGAGTGTATGCAGCTGAGCATGGACCTGCTGATGAAGTGTTTTGCTAATTCCACTGACACGGCTCACCTTGACACTCGTGTGCTACACTCGGATTATCCTGGTGTCGTTCGGCGCGCTACTGCAGATGAGAGGGGCCGGCTGGTGGGCAGAGCACCCCACCTGTGCCTAACCCATGGCCCCTCACTCACACTGCAGCGGGGCCACTCTGCACTTACACCCCCATTTCAACTGTCTGTGGGTAGAACATGAAAGTTGCTGTGTACAAACATTCAGAGCTTGTTTTAATCAGATTATGAGATTATGGGTGTTTATAAAGAGGATTGTGATGCACCGTATGAATTCTTCTTCCTGACCCTTCAGCGTGGAACAGGCCAGCCACTGTGAGTACTGTCTGTATACTGCCTGAATTAAAACCTTACTACTTACCCCATTCAAACTGTCTGCTTAGGGAGTGTCCTTGCATTTTGGATCTAAAGCCAAGCGCACACACATCTGCTCTCCCACTCATTATCGACACACTGGAGTAATGATCAAAGTTCTTCTCGTCTGCAGGGATCTCTACAACAAGGGAACTATACTGATGGAATGCCATATTAACAATTTAGACACAGTGATCACATGTTTTTAGTGGCAGGGAAAACCAGAGCACACACAAGGAGAACATGCAACCCCGCACCCGGGAGTCAAACATTCGGACTTCTTGCTATGAGACAAGAGAGCTTACTTGGAATGTGAAAGCTTAGACTGGTTTGCATTGGATTCATGAATGACCAGTACAAGCACCTTGTACTTTGGCCACAAGTGCTGAAAAAGGCAGGACGTGAGGGCGTCCATCTGTGGGGATATGTTAGGAACTTGTTTCTATGGAGAAGTTGGGCAGTCAACTGATGTCTTCTCCTCAGCTGACTGATGTGCATTTAGATTAGCTAGATGCTATGGACAATGCTACAGTCCACAATGAGTTAAAGTAACTGAGGACTTTGTTGCTCTGCAACCAGCATCCCAGTGTGGACCTCCACATGTTTCCCATGGGCCATGGTCTGATTGGTGTGAGCTATAGGCACGTCTCTCATGATATCTCTCATTTTGTCACCCTCTCCAATATCACGCAATATTGTCAGAATGTGCAATATTTGACCATATGTGTCAGCTGTAGTCACTTTCAGCCCAAAGACTCATGCTGCTAATATGTGCAGTAATATCATTGCTGTGAATATTTGAACCCATAAATCTAATGACTTATTTAATAAATGTTCTTGAACTTTTTTTATTTATTTATTTATTAAGCTCCTCATTCCTAGCCTGTTGATGCAACACTGGAATTTTCCCCTGTGGGACAAATAAAAACTCACTTAATCCACATCTTAATATTTGTTGATAAAAACCTGTTTAAGGCAACGGTCACATGGGTTTTTCAAGACAAAGCACACGGCGTTTTAAAGGCTTAAAAGAACTGCATTTATTTAAGTCATCATAGTCCAGGCTCAAGCTCCAGACTGAGGACAGAGGCTCCAGACTGAGGACAGAGGCTTGAACTAAAGTGGATTTAAACTTTGTGAAACACAACTGACCTCATTTTATGTTGTTTGACTGCTTCAAATATGAATCTTACTGATGAACATTGAAACATTTAGAGACGCGTCCCGTTGCAGCTGCAAATTCTTTTTCCAGCTGTTTGTGCTCCTAACTATGCAAATATGGGGTGGAGCTGTACAATAAGAGTAAGAATTTTGCACTGATTTAGGTATTTCTCCTGGACGTGGATTTGGGAAACAAAAATGTGACAGGCACGTGAAAATGAGAATGTCTACTCACCTTAATCCAATATCACAAGTGTTCAATGAAAACCTTTCTAATCTATTTTCAAAGAATCAAGGAATTGTGTTCATTTTTCCATAGACTGAACTTCAGTGAAACACTAGTAGCCATGGCTAATCCGGACAAATGATATAAAAAGACGTGCTTATCAATGTTACTGTGCTCTGCTTCAGGAGATGCCGGTGATAAACATAGACGACCTGACGGACAAGGACAAGGCTTTGATGGAGGTGAATCAGCTCAAAACAGAAATCAAGCTGGAGAGATGGAAGGTACGGACATTTGATAAATAATTAAACATTTTAAATTTCAGTTGCTGCATTTTTAACACCCTTTTAAAATGTGGGGTGTTTATTCTGGATTTGCAAACCATATGGGACTGGAAAGAGCATGAGTTCTTTTGTCACGGAAATACAAAATGATAAAACATAAACCATTGAAAATAAATGTTTTTCAATGTTGGCATTAGAGAGAAAATATATACTTAAATGACCAGGTTCCTATTATTCCCTTTATGAGTGACCCAACGGACAAGATAGTGACCCTGGGCGCAAAGGTTAGAAGCCCAGTGTACAGCTGATGCTCCTCCATTTGGAGCAGAGCCAGCTGAGGTGGTGAGGCACTGGTTTGGGATGCCTCCCTGGGAAGGCGTTCTGTGCACCCCAACCCAGGACACTCTGGAGCCGAGGTCAGGAACCTATGGCTCAGGAGCCAGGTGTGGTCCTTGATTTAGTCTCACTTTCAGATAATGTTTTACAAGGCATTAATCTTAATCTGAATGATTTTGTCAAAATCCCTTTTGTAAAATGTCAATCAACATAAATCATGCAGCGACTAATATTAAACACCGAATGTGTTATTTTTTTTTTTTAGAATCATACATATTCAAAGTAAAAACGTCTATGGCTCCCATTGAAATACTTTTTAAAGTATGAGACTGTTTTGACTCTCTCAGCTAAAAAGGGGCCTGACCTCTGCTCTGGAGGGTCTGTGTATCTCAGCTGGCCTGGGAGGATATGTGTGTTTTGAGACGGAAATCTGCCTCCATCATGGATGGAAACATGAAGGTCCGTGTGAGAATTTTCCAACTATGGAGCTGGAGCTGGATGTGTCTCACAACAGGTTACCATGGCAATCCTCTCTGTCATTCCTTATAACTCTAAGATGAAAAGAGCCAAATTTATTTATCACAGATGACTCACTGTACATTACATTAGTAATGTTTAATCGATCAGTTTAGATGATACGTTTGAGCTTCAGTAGTGATCTGAAATGTGAATGCTCTGTGTTTACGTACGTGTGTGTGCGTGTGTGTGTGTGTGTGTTTGTGTGTGTTTGTGTGTGTGTGTGTGCGTGTGTTTGTGTATGTGTGTGCGTGTGTGTGTGTGCACTCCTGCAGACGTCCATATGCTGTGAGGAAATCCGCGACTACATCCAGGCGCAGGTGGACGAGGACACGCTGGTGAAAGGCATCGCTGAGGACAAAAACCCGTTCAAGGAGAAGGGCGGCTGCATCATCTGCTGAAGACATTTAACATAGTGGAATCAAAAGTCTTCAAACTCAAACATTCTGCAGTGGATGTGTAAAAAAGCATCCAGACTGGCTAGTCAGAAACATGAGAAAAGCCCTTTTGTATCTTCCCCCCTGTAACTGCAGCATTTTGAAGAGCTTTTGGAAATTCAAAAGACTAATATTTTGAATTCTTGGTGGCAAAGTTTGTGTGAGAAACTTGTCCAAAAGAGCAGTATTTATGTGGGAAATAATGTAATAACAGGAATTATACAGTTAATCCTCAGGACATTTATTTCTGAATAATAAACTTATTAAAATTATTAACTACTTAAGGGTACACTGTGTCGTTTTTCTTGACTTGGATGATGTCAGTTCCTTGCTAAGAATATCCCTCAAAATTGTATTAAACGTGAAGTGTTTTATATTAAAAAGATGTTCTGAGATTACATATTCAGAAAAGTCATTTGAGTTTTGCATTTGAGATAAAATACTTTTTTGTGGTTCTTCTGATTCTGGAATTCATGAGTTGATTACTTGATTGTATAAACGTAAGAAGGAATATTAACTAATAAATATTACAAGAATAATACCACTAAGTTTACTAAGTTTAACTACTGCATAAAATATCAGAAATGGAATTCAGATCAGAGAAAAAGACATACAGCACAGATTTATAGTGATTTAAAGTGGCGTAAATACAGAATTAAATACAACGGTAAAAAGGAAACAATGATTTAGGATATGTCAGACAGGAATGAGCCGGGTTCATTGCACAAACGTTGGCATTTATAGAAAACCGACGGATTTCAAAATAAAACAAGTTCAGGATGACTAGTGTTTTTGTTGACACTGAGGTCTATGGCAGTGTTTTCTGTTAATCCCTGAAGATTTTAGTCTGCAGTAGCGTGGATGGTCCACCAAAATGAAGGGGCCTAATTTGAGCTAGCAATACCCTATCCGGATATTAAAATACACTGCTGAAGCATGTGAACTCTACTTTATCAATCCTCATTACTGCTTTTGAACTAACAGAACAAGTCATCGAAAGGCCATCCAATCAAAGAGGTTCATTTGATACTCTGTTATATTTTACTTTTAATATCTACAATATAAAGTTTGTTTTGAACAGAAATCAAGAAAGCAAGGTATATTTCTTAAAATTATGACTTACTGTCCTCAAAAACTACTTCCTGTACAATTATTATACTTGTAAGGTCCTAATTATCAAAAAAATAAAAAATAAAATGCAATTGGTGCAAACCATCTCTTCTTTTGTAAAGACTAATGTTTGTTTTTTTTACATTGTCAGTGTTCAATAAACTAAACTAAACTAAATAAGACAAGTAAGTAAGTAAGTAAGTAAGTAGTCTTTATTTATATACCGCCTTTCACAGACCAGAGTCACAAAGCGGTTTACAATTGTTATTATTTTTTGGGAATTGGTCCACTCACTCTACACAGAGATGGGAGTGGGGTCGCCAGTACAGGAGGCGCATGCCAGACCTATTGTTAATGTTTTTAGTGGTAGGGGAAACCGGAGTACCCAGAGGAAACCTACGCAGACACGGGGAGAACATGCAAACTCCACTCAGAAAGGCCCTGGTCCGGCTGGGATTCGAACCCAGGACCTTCTTAGACAAAGGCTCAGGTCTCATGGGGATATATCAGTCAAATGACTATTCATTTTAAACACCCAACGACGGCCCCTATCGATTGTTTGGGCTCGAAAGGGACAAGTTTTTGGTCAGTGTGAATGGGGCTCTTGTAGACTACAAAATTAGACAGTGCGCATGCGCAGGCTTTGTTATTGTAATGGCGCTGCACACAAGGCTTCGCTCCCGCAGCCTCCTGTCCTCTGCCCGGCTCCTGTGCACGGGGAGTCCGGCCTCTGTGCGTCCCCTGCCCGAACAAGGGCCCCAGAGCGAGATCCTGGGGGACCATCTGATCTACACACACGAGCACCGCGCTCTGAAGGAGGCGCTCAGGAAGGTAACTTTACATAATATTGTTCATACACTTGAACTGCAGACACACTACACTGCCCCCGTGTCCAGCACCGTGTCTCCGTATCACCGTGTCCCATCATGCTCCGCGGTCGGTCACTGCCGTATGTGGGTGAGAGGTCGGTGCCTCAGCTGACCGGTCCTCGTCACTGCTGCTCTTCTTGTGCTCTCCTCTGCTCTGTTTTCAGCCACACGTGAATTAACTTGTTGATAATAGTCCTTATCTTACATTTGTACATTTGTGATCTTAAAGAAGTCTTGGGGCATGTTGAGTGTTTCCAGGAGGCCCAGAAGTTCTGTCAGGTTTATCCTGCAGGAGGAAGCACCTGTCATTAGAACAGGGGTCTCCAAGTGAGCAACTTTTATAAAACAGCAAGAGCTGCTCGTTTAGAAGTCGTAATACAATTGTAGTCACGTACAGTTAAATTATGGAGAAAACGTATGCATAATATAGCATTATACTGTACAGTCTCCCTGTCTCAAGATTTATGGTTAAAATAGATTTGTAATAATTCAAAAGTGAATCCTTCCACAGGTTGGATACACCTGACTTAGAAAGTGCTTTCAATAAGACAAAAGTGTTGTACTGCTTAAAAAATAACATGTTAACCAATAACAAATGTAACCCTTTTAAGAATATTTACCTCCATGTTTTTGAATTGTCATAGTCTTAGAAAGAAATTGACTTATAAAAGTACATGAGAGCTGGAGGACTCTCCATGTCACCATCTTGAAATACATTGGCTGATAATTGACAAAAAGGATGCAAGAATCTCGTTTTTGTTTCACAGGTGCTACTAACATTGTTGAAGAATTATGCAAAAATCGAGAAACGTGCGTCATAAAATAAAACGTGTCAACATCGCAGACTGCACTCACAAAAAGACAGTTAAAACAGGAGGCACATTGTCTAGTTTGTACACTACAAACACACGCGTGAACAATACAACTGTCTTCACACCGACACTAACTGTCTTCACACCGACACTAACTGTCTTCACACCGACACTAACTGTCTTCACACCGACACTAACTGTCTTCACACCGACACTAACTGTCTTCACACCGATACTAACTGTCTTCACACCGACACTCTCTCCACACCGACACTGTCTTCACACCGACACTAACTGTCTTCACACCGACACTGTCTTCACACTAACTGTCTTCACACCGACACTGTCTTCACACCGACACTGTCTTCACACCGACACTGTCTTCACACCGACACTGTCTTCACACCGACACTGCCTTCACACCGACACTGCCTTCACACCGACACTAACTGTCTTCACACCGACACTAACTGTCTTCACACCGACACTAACTGTCCTGCTTCTCGGATCATTGTGGTTTTAAGCTCCCACAGACGTTATTCCTCCATGCGTCTCTTCTCTTCACACCGCATTTGTAAAACTATGTATTATAATAGAAAGGGCGACAGTAGCTCAGTTGGTAGAGCATTGGCCTTAAGGCCAGAAGGTCGTGGGTCCAATTCCCACCTCTGCACCTTCTCCACCGACTCCCACTGATGACTGCTGTCGTTGTGTCCTTGGGCAAGACACTTAACCCCACTTTGCCCAAAGCCCCCACTGAAAGATCAAGGCTATGCTCACACTCAAAGAGCAGCCGTCCTCCTGTGGACTCACCACCTGCAGAGGGTCAGTGAGGGGCTGGTGCTATGAGACTTGGGTGGCATCTCTGATTGCCACCCCCCTGACCCAGAAATGGATTAAAGGGTAGAAAATGGATGGATGGATGAATAATAGATCTATGGTAAAACTTTGTGAAGCAGGTGCGGCTTCAGAACGCGGTCTTGTTTACATGTCGCCTCCATGTGACTGTCAGTGACCACGACGTATGGAGAGATCTGGTCATTTATCAAACTGAAGGATTCTTTCCTTGGCAAGAATCCTTCTGGTGAATGACTGAGGCCCTGTTTATACTGAGACGCTGCGCAGACGTTTCCAGGCTATTAACAGAAACGACCTGGCTCCTAATGGAAATTTCTCAGCGTTCACATGAGGTTGAAAAACGATGTAGTTCTAGCACCCGGCCAGTAGTGGGCAGATAAACTTTACAACACGACACACAACCCCGAGCCCCGTGCCCAGCCCCCCTCTCGGCAGTGTACTCACTTCCTGTGCCAGACCCTCAGAGAGTACCAACATCATTCTGCCTTTTAACAGCAGCTGTGAAAATGGAAACTGAACCTAGAGCTTCGCGTGGTCTCGTTTGGACGAACGAAGGAGTAGAATTATCCTCTGTGCTGTGCTCGAAGCCCACGTAGCTAGTTTGTGTGGGCAGCGCCATTGTTGTTGATGTTTGTTCTCCGCTACTGCGCATGTCCAAATTTACGTGCGGGGAGCAGCGCGGAGGCGGGGGTCAGAGCAGAGGGGGATTTCACACCTTTTCCCCTCTCGCGGGTGTGAAAAAGCTCCCTGCTGTGCAGCGTATCTGAGTTGTCCCACTCTGCAGGCTGGATCTGAACACTTGCGTTTTCACCCCCCTGGAACACAGTCTTCGTATGAACGGTTGGTAGCAACCGACATCCAACTATAGCGTTTTACTGCCACATTGTCTCCGTGTAAACTCAGCCTGAGAGTTTAGGAGCACTGTCAAAGACAACATACTGTCCATTGAAGGCTTCCATAGAACCCTGGACTACAATGTATGATCTCAACACTAGATAGGAGTAAAAACTATACAGTGTACCTTTAAACATAATACTTACATTTTTACATTCACCCCAGTGTAGGTCATGGTGGCTCCTCCACTGTGACCGATAGAAATCCGCTCCAGTGGGATATTTGTGTCCACAGGAACATTAATTCATCAGTCACCGTTCCAGTTTGCTCTCATCAGAAAAAAGTTTATTCCACTTTTAAATAACCCATGTTTGGATCCCTCTTGGTCCAATTTGTGATGTTGAAGGAGACATGAAAGTGGTTTTATTTTGAAGAGCTTCTTGCTAACGTGTCTGATGGTTATTTGGCCTTCAGTCTGGTTGACATTCCAGAGAACATCTGGATGGATTGAAAACATGATCCTCCTCAGCCTTGGGGACATTTTCAAGTCTACGACTTCCTCTTATGATCCAAAGCATCGACACATATGAACAACATTGGTGGACATTGGTTAAACTGATCAAGCCCCTCAGTTCAAATAATAACATGTACTAGCTGATATTACCCCAGAGGATCACAGTTTCAGATTTTCCTCACATGCGCTTGTTCTGTAGACACTTGCCGGATTAATATCAGTTAAAACACAAGTGGACTCGCCTGAGAATACCCACGCTGCTGTGTTGCATGCATTATTTCAAACTGCACAACATAAATATATACGATCTATATACCTATCATGTTGTATGTTGTAATACCCTATCCCAACACATTACGTGATATGTTGTCGAGAGTTAGCCAGGCTACAAGATCATCAATTTTGCAATCGCAGTGAGGGCGGAAAAAAGCTTTTTCATTTGGTATCTGCAGTTATTGAAAGCCATGGTATCAGGATCAGTATCAGGCATGAAAAAGCTGGATTGGAAGAATTGTGATACTCTGTGACAGCTGATTTTAGTTTTGGCTGCACATACAAACGGGTTCTGGACTTACCTGCTGGATTAACATTATTGAAGCCATTTTATAACAGGGTTGTATTGAAACTGGTATCTCGCTACATCAGCACAGCCAACACAAGTCCAGCCTCGCGTCCATGGACTGAACCCGCCTCAGGGTCCCTGGTTTGTGCTGCCGTCATGTAAAGCACTTTTTTCCCACTATGCTTTGTTTATCATTCGTACATGATTTAAGAAAAACATTTCTGATCGCAGCCCAAGCTCTTGCGATCCAAGATGGCGCTGTATTCAAATGAATGGTTTGTGCTCAGTGGAGCATTGTGCCAGCATGGGCGCTGAAAGATTAGCGGAAGTTGCCTAGAACTCACAAAGACTCATTGGAAACTTCCCTGTATTTTGGGCATCGTCTGGTCTTCCCGGTTCTGCGCAGTGGATGAACCCCCATGATGCATTGTGCCAAATACTCGTGTGTGGCTCTCATGCACGTGCACAGAGGGGCTCGATCGCGCTCTGACCAATCAGAACTGATCATCAGAGCAGGAGTTAGAGCGGGAGCCAGACGGGCAGAGTTTGTGGCACTAAAGAGTGGATTTAAAGAAAACCGAAGAAGAAAAAAGTTCAGGATGACAAGGGACACTAAAATCCCCACAAAATCCGACTTTTATGAAAGCTGCAGGTTCTCTGTCAGGTTCTCTGTCAGCTGAGGTCGAGCTGTTTTAATTTACATTGAGTTCTATGGGGGAAAGTTCTGGGTAGCCCATGTGAATTTAGTCTGGTTCAGTCTACAGTACTGCGAGAATCCCCCGAGCACATGGGTCCAGCTCCAAGCTAGCAATACCCTATCCAGTTATTATAATAGATCCATGTCGCAGCCCCATATTATCAGCCTCGCATGTTGCCCAGTGACTTGACTACGTTCATGTCTTCAGTTGCCTTGAGCTGTAGAGCAATCAGCGGTTGTGCGTCTGCTCTTTTCTTGTCCTTGATTGTTTTGTAAGCACACACTCATCCTCATTTCTATTCATTGAAATGTAATCCCCTCTGTCCCCATACCAAGCTTTTCTTCAACTGGAAAATTAATGTATTATACTGCTCTGTATTTGACAAATGGTTTCATAACATATTGTGTGGTGTTTGTCCAGATCATCGACCAGGAGATCAATCCTCATGTGGACCAGTGGGAGGCGGAGGGCATTTTCCCCGCCCACAAAGTCTTCAAGATTCTTGGGACTGCTGGTTTTCTTGGCGTGAACAAGCCAGTGGGTAAGAGCTCCAGACCCACAGCAGTAGTTCTTACCAGTGTGATCAGAAGGTTCACAATATTTTCTAATAGTCCAAAACTGCATTTTTCTTAACAAGCTGAAGTTTTTTCTTCACTTTGTCACACATTCCTCACAGCGTGATTTGAGGTTGACCATATTTTTTGTTGTTGTAGGCGATGGCTGATTTAAAAAATGTCAGATTTTTGATTGCTTTTTAACGTCTCAGCCTTCAGTTCGTATTGTCTTTTTGGATATACAGGTGAAACTCGGAAAACTAGAAAAACAGGAAAACGCCTTTTTTATTTCTGTAATACAACTGAAAATGTAAAATTAAAGTGTGGCTGGACATGCGATAGCGAGGCAAAAGGAGCTAAGCTCAATGATTGGTAGTGAAGTAACTAGGGCCGGGACGTTAACACGTTAATTACGATTAATTATATGGGCGGCACGGTGGCTGAGTGGATAGCACTCTCGCCTCTCAGCAAGAAGGTCCTGGGTTCGAATCAGGGGCCTTTCTGAGTGGAGTTTGCATGTTCTCCCCGTGTCTGCGTAGGTTTCCTCCGGGTGCTCCGATTTCCCCTACCGCTAAAAACATGCACAATAGGTATGAATGTAATGAGAGAGTGAATGGATGGTGTTGATTGGAGCTGATGGTCCAGTGTGTTCGACGACTCGCTTCTGTCATCACCGTGTGTGGAGTGATTGGAACAATATCTGAACTCTGAACATTGTAAAGTGCTTTGGATGACCTTGGTCTGTAAAATGTGCTATATAAATAAACATTACTTACTTACTTACTAATTAACGCCACAAAAATTAGCGCGTTAAAAAAATGGACGCATTTTAATCGTATTGTGTTTTTTGCACCACGGGACGTTCCTAACTGGATCAGTTTCAGACGGATTGATTATACTGGAGCGCCAACTGAGCTTCTTGACCTTTTTTTGTTCAGAAGTAGATTATTACAAGCATAGGCAAACTTTAGCGGTGTCTCAATCCGAGTGAGTTAGAGACGGGAAAGAGCACTGTGAATGGAGTGATGGACTCTGTGTGAGAGGCGGAGGCGGAGGTGTGTGGAGGCGATGACATGAACGTTTTTGGATGGAAAGAAGTCAGTCTGATCATCCTCAATGAACATGTTGCTTCAGCTTATGTATTCAGTCATTATTCAATGGTAAACTAAAATTCCATGTGAAAAAAAATACTTTCTCAGGTCAACTATTTATATGCGATTAATTGCAATCAATTAATTACAAAGCCTCTAATTAATTAGATTTTTCAAGTCCCAGCCCTAGAAGTAACCAATTATGTTTGTCCACATTACATTTTTAAATGGTAGAAAGTTCTAGTTGCACCTTTGAAGTTGTGTTACAAACATGTAATCTCACCTGATAAGAAGAAGAGACGAGGGAAAAGTGAACACCAATATATGCAGTTTTTTCTGTATAGGTTTGTTTTGTCTTTTGGAGATATTTAAATTATTGTGTTTATAGTACCATGAACAATGTGATTGTTTTGCTGAGGACAAAATGAGGGATATTATTCCATGGAAGGATATCTACAATCACTTACTTTTTCATTATGTAAATGGATTGTTTGAAAAGCGATATTTAATCTTTCTCACTCACAAATTTAGATTCAGATTTGTTTCTGTAAAAAAAACGAATTAATCAAAAGAATTATCAATTGTAAAACGACTTGTTATTGTCCGCCCTTATAAACACAATTACAATGAAAAGATTAGTCCTAGTCATTTTGAAGAGACAATTTTTTTTAGACGCTGATGTTTGAGATTATTTTTGCTTCTACAAGTAACTGTCTGAACGTGTTTGTTTTTCATCAAAGACCAAAATGACTTTATCCAAACTCAACGCTACAGTGCAGTTAAGATGAAAGCCATTCATACAGACAGATGAAAAGAATCCTGCTTTAATCATTCCTTGCAACAATTTTAAAACCTATTCAAGTCCATTAGGAATAAGGACTGTGAACTCTGAGTGCAATAATAACGGTGTTTTATAGACTGCCCTTAAATCCCCAACTTCCCCCACGTTTCCAATACACCAAAGCAGAAACTTTTCATACTTAAATATTTGGCAAGACTGAGTCTTGCAGATCAGAGAAAGGATAAAGGTGTATAATTGTGACGCAGAGTCATTCAGGAGTGGCCAAAGTACACGGCACTTTTCTGACATGGATCACTCCACCGCAGTGCCCTAAATGCTGCTGTCAACTATTAGCAGCAGAAGTCTGCACTCTCCGAGTGTAGTTGAAGTACCTCTCTGAAGTATCTCTTCAAAAACTTTGACAAACAATACACAAAAAGATTCAGTGGTTATTGCAACATATTTCATTTGCATATTAGAATTCAACCAATACATTTTTGGACTTTCCAAAATATGTTCTGAACATTATCAAGATCATCCACAAATACGGTATTATTTGTTATCAATATAGCTAAACTGTTTCCTGTGTGTGTATGTGTGTGTGCAGAGTATGGAGGCCTGGGCCTGGACTTCAGCTTCAGCATGGCAGTCTCAGAGGAGCTCGGACACATCCATTGTGGAGGGGTACCCATGGCCATCGGAGTGCAGACTGACATGGCCACGCCTGCTCTGGCCAGGTACCACTCATGGATCTATTATAATAACTGGATAGGGTATTGCTAGCTTGGAGCTAAAGAACCCATGTGCTTGGATTCTCGCGGTACTGCAGACTGAACAAGACTAAATTCACGTGGGCTACCCAGATATTTCCCCATAGAACTCAATGTAAACTAAAACAGCTCGACCTCAGCTGACAGAGAACCTACAGCTTTCATAAAAGTCGGATTTTGTGGGGATTTTGGTGTCCCTTATCATCCTGAACTTTTTTTCTTCTTAAATCCTTTGATTTTCTTTAAAGCTGCTCTAACTGACTTTCTTTTCGTATTCATTCCGAAAATGCTATCCATGTAGTGCATTGGGATACACGTCGTTTTGAAGAAAAAATAGCACAGGTTTGTGCTGGCGTGACGTTATATTTTAGATTGAGTTTTGATGGGACAAGGAAGAGAATGTGTTTCGGGTTGCAGATTGTGACCAATCACAGCGCACCACTAGCCCCCACTTTCGTGAGAAATCTACAGGTCCATTAGCATAGACGGCTGAGTTAGCACAACAAGCGGCGGAGCTAACCTGAAGCTTCGTGTCTTCATCACCGCTTACTATCCAGAAGAAAGTCTCGTTTCCTCCCAGTTCTATCGTTCTATGGTCACGCCATCCACGTGCAAATCCATATCCATGTATGGATAATACATGGATATGGATTTGCACGTGGATGGCGTGACCATAGAACGATAGAACTGGGAGGAAACGAGCCATCCAGAAGAAAGTCTCGTTTCCTCCCAGTTCTATCGTTCTATGGTCACGCCATCCACGTGCAAATCCATATCCATGTATTATCCATATTGGGAGACACTAGCTCCGTCAACAACAGTGGGTGTGTGTGGGGGGCAATAGCGTTGTGGGTGCGGGGAGGGGAGCAGAAAGAGCGAGGCCAGCGAGTCCGCGGCTTCAAAATCCCAAAGTCAGTTAGTGCAGCTTTAAATCTACACTTTAGTGCCACAAACTCTGCTCGTCTGGCTCCCGCTCTAACTCCCGCTCTGATTGGTCAGAGCGTGGCCGAGCCCCTCTGTAAACGTGCATGAGAGCCACACAAGCGTATTTCCCGCAAAGCATCATGGGAGTTCATCCACTGCGCAGAACTGGGAGGACCAGACGATGCCCAAATACCGGCGAGTTTCCCATGGATCTTTGCGAGTTCCAGGCGAGTTCCGCTAATATGTCAGCGACCGTGCCAGCACAAAGCGCCACTGAGCACAAACCATTCATTTGAATACGCCGCCATCTTGGATCGCCGGGGCTTGGTACCACTCTGCCGCGTGGCTCACTGCTGCTGTGTCCCTCACTGCTGCTGTGTCCCTAACTGACAGGATTGAGAACGTGACCAAATGTGCCACACAGGCGTTTGGTATGTTCTGACCCGGTTCTGAGCTTCAAACATATCCAGGCGGGACATGCGAACAATCTGGACAACATACAGAATACCCAACAAGACATTTGCCAAAACACCGTTGAATGTTCTTTTGTGGACACTGTAAAAACACAAACAGAAGAGAATTTAAAAAGTACTAAATACATATATATGTGTAAATATCAGTGATAAAATGATGATCGGTTGCCTGATGATCAGTTGAAGGCACAGCTGAAAAGAACTGTTTTTAGCCTGGACTTGAATATAGCCAGGATAGCAGCCTGTCTCACACCCTCAGGAAGACTCTTCCAGACTCTAGGTGCTTAGGTCTGGAACACTGCATCCCCATGAAAAATATGTTTTTGAAATAAATTACAAAAAGAAAAAAGAAAGATAAAAATGTCTCAAATGAAAATAAATATGCCAAAATATGTATAAATGAATTGAATAAAAATGAATTTATTAAAAAGAATATGCAGGACAGAACCAAACTTTAGTGCACAGGTGATGAGCGGCCATGATGAGATGCAACTAACTCTTTTGAACCGGGCTTAGAATATTTATACCTGTTCTCCCAGGACCCAGAGCAGAGAGCACAGCCTCCCAGAATGCCGCAGGATGAGCCGCCGTGGCCATGTGTTATGTGTTTGTTGGACTGCAGATGCGTGTGTTGTGATTGTTGCTCAGCGTAGCCTAATTAGGAGTGTGTGTATCGTGTGTGTGTGTGTGTGTGTGTGTGTGTGTGCTCAGGTTTGGCTCCGAGGCTCTGAAGAAAGAGTTCTTGCAGCCCTCCATCCTGGGGGACAAAGTGGCCTGTCTGGGTGTGAGTGAGGCAGGAGCTGGCTCGGATGTCTCCAGTAAGGATGGTTTTCACTCTATTTCATTTTATTATTTTCTAGCATGGTAGTATCAGAAGTATTTGCTGGAATCCACTTCCCTAAGTTAGTGCCTTAAACAGGGTCCTGGCAATATTTACTGTTATTTGTTTTACAAGAGAAAGCATTTCTTCAGTAGAAATAATGGATAAGCATGACAAATGGAGTATGAACCAAATGTGAATATACTTCAACCTAGTGGTAGAAGTGGGAGATTGCATTCTGTTAGATTTAGATAAAAGTCATTGTCATTTGAAGAATAAGTTGGAGGAAAAACTCTCTCCTTGACATCATAGTCTGAAGATTTAGTGGTATCATTCTGTATATAGTTTAAAATGTAGCATTTACACACATTTTTAAATTGTATTTTGTTTCTTAGTTTAAACTATGACCTCACAATAGAGATTATTTTGGGTAAAAATGTTAAATCCTTTCTAGGGACAGACATTGCAAGCTAGACTTTGCTATACTGTTATAGTGTTTCATATGTATATTTATTTTTTATTAGTATCTTAAAGTAGTAAACTTTGCCCCCATTTTGGTTTCTGATGCTGCCTAGTGTTTTGACCTCATAGAAGTTTCTGGTTTTCCTTATTTCATAATTGGTATTATTACAACAATTATATTCGTCATAAAAGCTGCGACATATAGAACAGTGGCACCGAAGACCTGTGTGGAATATGTTGATTTATAATTTGCTTATCAACAAAATGGCTTGTGGGGAAAATATAGGTAATATAAACGGTGACTCTGCAGGTGTTCAGGTTCTTGGATGGGGGGTCATGTGACCCCCTTTGTGGCCCCTCGGGATGTTCTTGCACGGTGAGCAATCCCAGTGAGTGACTGAGTCTGTCATGCAGGCATCAGGACCAAGGCTGTGAGGAAAGGGGACGAGTACGTCATCAATGGGGGAAAGTTGTGGACTACCAACGGCACCCAGGCCGACTGGATGTGTCTGCTGGCCAACACCAGCGACGGCCCCCCCCACAAAAACAAGTCCCTGATCTGTTTGCCCATGAAGCTGCCAGGTAAGTGCCCATGCCGCCCCAAAGCAATTTTGGGTCCCAAAGATATATTGGAGAAGTAATATTTTTAGTTATGGAATTTGTAATTATCTGTTGGTTTATCTGAAACATGCAGGTGTTTTCTTTTGTTCAAAAAGGTACATACTGTTGCTTTAAAGAAAATGCATGCTCCATGACTGTCTGCTATGCTAGGATCATTTTAGTTGTGCGGCCGCGAGGGGCACATAAAACTCTCAACAAACTGAACCCCATTTGTGTTCAGTTAAAAAGTGAATGGCTCCTGCCAATAACACACATATACAGTGTATAATACAGTGGTTGATGTTGGCGTTAGTGGTGTGTCATCAAGAGGCAGAGACTGAAGGTGTGTGAATATGTGCTTTTTGTGTTGCAGGCGTGCACGTGGCCCGCACCATCAAGAAAATAGGCATGTGGTCTTCAGACACGGCTGAGGTGTTCTTTGACGATGTTCGTGTGCCCTGCTCCAACGTGATTGGTCAGGAGGGGATGGGCTTCACCTATCAGATGCTTCAGTTCCAGGAGGAGCGGCTCTGGGCCGTGGCCAACAGTGAGTAAGTACTTTTGGATCATTGAGGATGTAGAATAACAGTAGCCTGTCTCCTGCTGTAGTCATGACCACCATGGACCTCATCCTCCAGCAGACGGTGGACTACACCAGGCAGAGGAAGGTGTTCAGCCGCCCCGTGCTCTCCCATCAGGCAGTGCACTTCAGACTGGCTGAACTCCAGACCGAAGTGGAGCTGCTGCGCTCGCTCTTCTACAGAGCTGTTGGTACGATTCCCCAGCTGCCCCACACTGCTCATGAAGGCTACAGCAATATACACTTATGTTTTTTATAAAGAAATGACCAAATTCACTACAGCAGTCTTCTCAAAATGCAAAATTGTTAATTGGTCAAAAGTGAAATGGAACAAACGATTACAATAAGAAAGGGCCGATACCAATCCAATATTGACAGGAATCAAGTATAAATCAAGTATAGATAAAGAGAAAATGTGTATCTCAGCTTACGCCTAATGAGTCCAGACGCCCATTCATGATGGGCAGAGGACCCCCTGGGGACCAGTCCACTGGTTATGGTTCTGCCCCAAATTTAGCCCCGCCTCTGCTGCTCTTACATCAGCCGCACTGGAAACAGACTCGAGTGATCCTTTATCAGTTTATCATTACTCTATTGGACCATTATTTACTAAAACTGCACCACATAACTTCACCGGGGACCAGTCTGCCCCGTCTAAATATATAGATAGTGTCTGATTTCACTTGAGTAAGTTACAGGTCAAATCTGTAGAGAGGAGAGCTTGTCCTTCTTGAAAAATAAGTGTTATATTGTGCTGAGGTAAAAGCCATAATTAGCCAACCTCATCAGAAAAGTTACACACCAAATGTGTTGGCCAAAGGGCTGAGGATGAAGAGGACAGTTATTCATTCAAGTTTACATACACCTTCACAAAAGAAATACAATAAAAAGCTATCTGTGCTAGGTCAGGTGGATCAATACATGCCAAAGGATTAGAAGGACATAGTTTTTATTTTCAACAAGTGTAGTGATTTTTGTGGATGAAAATGAAGCAAAAACAAAATAAGAATGCCTTGCCTAATGACTTGAACGTTGACAAAAGGAACTGCATTTTTGTCAGCAATTAAAGAGACAAAATACATTTTATATCTTCATTCATTTTGCTAACGTGACTTCCATTTTAGTTTGAAGCGTGTTGTACTCCAAACACAATTTAACAAGTAGTCCTTTTTAATCAAATCAAATATTTAAGGGCAAAATTATTTGTTCCATATTAATTTTTTTATTTTTTTAGAAAATCATCCCCCGGGGGGTCGGGACCCCCACTTTGGGAACCACTGTGTTAAGTAACCAAATTAAAGCTCAGCTTGCTAGCTTTTTTGTTTCATAAGTAATACTTGTTTGTCTCAACAGAACGTAAATGTTGACAATGTATATATTTTTAAAATTATATTTTCCTCCTAAAATGTAATTAAAATAATGTATTGGTCCACCTGACCTAGCACAGAACGTTTTTCTTAAAATATCAATAATTGTGAAAATCTTGGGTGCAGTTTGGCAAAGGTAAACTTGAGGCTTGAACTATAGCTTTGTTAAGATATAATTTGCTCACAGAATCAGTTAATTCACTCTTCTCTTTCACTCGGCCCTGCCTGCTGCCCACAGCTCTGTATATGAAGGGCAATGATGTGACCTTGCTGGCCTCCATGGCGAAGCTGAAGGGGGGACGCCTGGCTCGAGAGCTGGCTGACAGCTGCTTGCAGTTCTGGGGAGGGATGGGCTTCACCAGCGACGTCCTGGTCAGCCGCTTCTTCAGGTGAGCCCACTGCATTACAAACGTACCAGATTCATACATGTTCTGAAAAGGGATATCATGAAGTAGCTTGTAAACGTCAGACAAAATGGTTTAAAACAATAAACTACTATAGGTCAAAAAGCACTCTGACCGAACACCTCTCCCCCACTACTCACTCTGTGCCTTGAGAAAGTGTTAATACAGCTTCAACTGAACATCTACCAAGACTTAGCAAATCTGGCCTTTATGGATTAGTGGAAAATGGAGAGCCTGTGTTGAAATAAAGCCACAAGAAGCAAAGGTGATCCTCTTCAGTGCACTATCCATTTACCATACATACATGAATACTGTACATACATACAAATATATCTACCTGCTTACCTACTCTGCTGTAATCTTATATATGTATATTATACCCTCACCAGCCACTTTATCAGGTACACCTTGCTAGTACCGGGTTGGACCCCTTTTGCCTTCAAAACTGTCTTTATCCTTTGTGGCATGGATTCAACAAGGTACTGGAAACATTCCTCAGAGAGTTTGGTCCATATTTGATGCAACATGCAGTTTCTGCAGATTTGTCGCCTGCACATCCATGATGCGAATCTCTTGTTCCACCACATCCCATAGTTGCTCTATTGGATTGAGATCTGGTGACTGTGGAGGCCATTACAGTACAGTGAACTTATTGTTATGTTCAAGAAACCAGTCTCTGATGATTTGAGCTTTATGACGAGGTGTTTTATCCTGCTGGAAGTAGCCATCAGAAGATGGTCATAAAGGGATGGACATGGTCAGCAACAATACTCAGGTGGGCTGTGGCAACGATGCTCAATTGGTACTAAGGGACTCCAAGAGTGCCAAGTTAATATCCCCCACACCATTACACCCCCATAACCTGAACCGTTGATACAAGGCAGGATGGATGCCTTCTAACCCATGCTTTCATGTTGTTGACTCCAAATTCTGACCCTACCATCCGAATGTCGCATTAGGATTAGGAATTTGCATTAAAGTGGAGTTGGATTGGTGTACATAATAATAAAGTGGCAGGTGAGTGTATATAGCCCCTGTAACCCATCTAGCCCCCAGCAAACATACGGAACTGGCTCATTGTGCACCAGAAACCTAATGAGGAGAGCTGCAGAATAACAACACTATATTGACAAATTGATCTGCAACGCTAGAAACTGCTCGTCAGATACAGACACAAGCTAAGCGTGTGTAATGATCCACCAGATCAATAGTGAAATTGCACTTGAGGTTTGGAGCAGGGATTCCCACTTTTCACTTCCATTATCACCAAATATCATCACATAGACAGTATATAACCTGTATGGTATGGTATGGTATGGTCTATGACGGGCCTCCTCTGGGTCTTGTTAAAATAAAGTCGGGACAGTTAAATGTATCTGACGATGCTGTGATATCAGAACTCCATGACGACGCATGCAGTATCCCGTTATGAGTCTTAGCCCAATTATAAGTTTTCTGGATATGGTGCTCACATCAGGTACTTGTATCGCTGTGTAGGTTCACAAAAAGTAACTGCTGGGTAACTATGGCAACTATGGCACAGGTATCGCCTTTAAAGAGCCACTTAGTTAAATTAAAACCTGTAAAGCTTGCAAAGTTACAAATAACCTGTAATTAACAGTCACAGTTGGCTGATTTATCCTTTCAATTAGTTTTCCGTCTTAAAGCTCAGTGAATATGGGATTTTTTTTCTCCCTTTGAGCAAGACAAAGCTGAAGTGATACATCTTCATAGAGAGTGTGACACAATGGGTTGTGTGATTTAAAAATACTTTTACACTCTTTAAACACATTTTAATTTTATTTTGCGGTCAATATAGAATACGAGTTCTCCCAATCAGGATATTGTGGGGTCAAATACAGAGGACACAGTTCACTACAGGTTCACAAACTCTACCTTACCTTAAAGGCACACCGTGTAACTCTTGGCCACTAGGGGCGCTAGACCTGCAACTTTCACGTTTAGCGCCCCTAGTGGCCACAAGCAACTCAGCACTGTCGCAAAAGTCAACAAACAGTCAGCCGGTGTCTTTTGAGTGTGTATTCAGACAGCATGCACTGGTGTGTGTGTTCAAACTGTAGAGACATGCCTACAGATATTGAGAGACTCTGCTGTGGTCAGCCTCCAGACCGCTGCATTAGTAATCTACCACACATGGACTTCTATATCCTGGATGAGGGAGTTCTGCGTCTAGCTCGTGCTGCGTGGAATGACATCTTTGCAGTCGATGACATCCAGGAACCAGGTGAAGAGCAGCGCTCATACAGACATGCAGCTTACAGCACGATCCCTTTCGCGTTTCCTCTTTTTAGCCTCCTCCGAAGGTTTAAAATTTTTCCTTGCCTCAGCCATGACCAGGAGTCGAGCAGGTGAAAAATGAGTAGCAAAAGCCTTAGCTCCATGAGTATATCAGCGCCTGTAGCCGTAAAGCAAGTCTTTCTTCCAAGTCACGTGACCTGGTGGCAGACGGTCCGTCTGCTCGAAACTTACATGGGCGGTATTTCAAGAGGGCAGCCCCGCTCGGAGCATTGCAAGTGTCAAGCGCTGTATATTGGCCCAAGTATTCATATAAAATAACTCATATGTGTCAACTCTTTAGGTCACAAAGTCCGCGGTGTGCCTTTAAGAATATAAAAATAGATCTGAAACATGTTTTATGCCTAAAATCAGAATATAGAGAATTGGGCATGGATATGGGGCGGGTGGAAAGGTGAAACACTAAAGATTACTCAAACATGGTCAACATACTGGAAATGAAAGGGAATGAAACAGGTGCACTAATATAATGTCCTCTCAAAATTGTCCTTTTTGAGCTGCAATCATAGTTAAGCACAACAGCGCTGATTTATCAGCGTTGCAACGTGAATCCTGGGATTACAGCCGTGGCTTCATGAAGCAGCGTGTTCCTGTCGATCTGGTGTGACTCTGATGAATGCGTCGGCTGAAAAAGGGCTTCATTTTCATAATGCGTATCATTAATGCTGCTGCAGTTATAATTTAAAGGAGCTATACCCATTTCTGCAAGGTTTGAATGTTTATCACCGCCCCTCAACTCACTCTCAGGTCTCATTTCCCCCACGCTCTCATCCCACGAAGCCATCTAGTTTAATTTGCGATCTGATACGTATGCAAACATTAGCATGAGCGCAAGTTTTCAATTAAATTACGGATTATAATACAACTTGTGTGGCTTCTTTTAACATTCGGGAAAATATCTTTTGATGAGTTTTTAAAAGTTCAAATGTGCATACTTATCAAGACCCACTTGGCTCTAATATCTATGAGATGCATTCCCATTCCCAACCATTTTATTATATGATTACCCAAACATCTGACAGAGAACAGCAATTTGTTGCCGGTTTGTGTCTTCATTTCCTTTTAATTAGGCGTACCAGATGTTGATGCTCGGCTTGGTCATGACCGGAGCTGGAGGATGTTACTTATTGTACATATTTTGGTGTGGGAAACACAGGTAGAAAGTTCTTTGCGTGTGTGTAGCTTCATTTAGCCTGTGCCATGTTAGATTTGAGGCTAAATCTAAAAATGGTCCACCTTTTCCACAGTTGGGTAGTCTTGCAGAATCTTTGGCTCTGTTCTCAGTGCTTTGTATCTTTGTCCTTCAGAGATGGTAGACTGATGTCCATTGGGGGAGGAGCTGATGAGGTCATGCTGGGAATCATCTGCAAATATATGGACACGCTGCCCAAGAAGTGAGCGTGAGCGGGAGCGGAGCGGCCGGACAACAAGTGCACTTACCTTTGTACATCCTGGACTTTGACTTTAGTGGACAGAAATGTGATTGTGATTTCAGGAGGTTTTCTAAAGTGGGATCCTCATGTGCCAAAACATGAGCTAGTGAGAAGGCTGGACGACCTGTTCTAGACACACATCCTCATGAGATCAGTTATTCAGTGTATGACATGAACAGGACTTTTCACTTTCAATATCGTCATTTTGAATAAAAAAAACTAGTAATCTCTGGACCGGTGTTGGCAAAGTTGATGAACATGTTGATACAACGCTGATGGTAATTCTTATCACAAATAAAAATAATAGCACTAATTGTACCACAATCTTTATACAATAACATCTTTCTCAGATGAGTGAAAATACTAATTTTTACATTAGTCGAGATGTAAACTAAAATATGTATATATTAAGTCTCCTGTTTAAACAATTGAAGTATATCAGGACATGACATTTGAATGTTGTGTAAACCATGTCATTTGGCCATGAGTCCTCCCTTCACAATGATCTGATATAAATCAAGGTTGTCAGTCTTTAATGTCTCTAGTTAGGTCTTTAATGAGTTTTGTCTTTTTGAAATGTGATTCAACTGTGTATATTTGCAGCCTTTCAAGTAAAAAGTAGTAGTGTATTAATCTACTACAATAAAAGTCATATTTGCAAAGTCATGTGAATTTCTTTTTCTTGTGAAGTACTTGGTAAAACTAACTCAGCCTGAGCCTCTTGAAGGGATCATGTGTAACGTGTAGGAGTTATTATAGATCATGGTAAGAAAACAGTCAAACTGAAGCATGTTTATTTAATACAATATAAAGGGAAACACTGGTAGTTGTTCTGATGTTGACGGAAACGAAAAGAGTTGATTTACCAAAGTCTCTGACGTGAGATGACCACAAGGCACTGCCACCTGTGCCCTTATGCAACACAATATTCACATTTATTCACAAAAATCATAATAGCAATGAATTAGTTCTTTAAGTATATTCTTTGCAGGGTCCTACAAACATTGAGTCATACAAAACTCAGAAGGGGAATGACGATAACATGGAAACATTCCTTTGAGATCTTACTGCTGCTTCCTGTATAATTATCAATGTCATCAATACTTTGGCTTCAGTATCTGCCAGTACCAGAGGAGTGACTGAGCTCATTCTAAATGAGTCAAATTGTGACTTAAATGTATGGATCCTGCCGTAACTACAGAATAAATGAGGAAAACTCCAAATAACAGCCAGTTTTATGATGTTCATTGAATATCGGGTCCGACAAATATTCCTGGATCGGTGCCGACATTCACCGATACTGGCATCAAACTTAATGATTTTCTAGTTTTTGTTTAGTTCTCAAACCGTTGCAGTCATAGAATGTTTAAAGTTATGAGTTTACTATGGCAAAAATAGGTTGACCCACATTTTTTCACAATTCCTGATATTTTATCAAAGTAAACATGTGTATACCAGAAACATCAGATGGCTCAATTTATTTTCAGAAATTCCCAAATACTAGAACATTTTCTTTTTTTTCAACACATCACAATCTTTAGTCAGTTTACATATTTGCGGTTTATATTTTGCAGAATTAGTTTTAAACTTTCACTTGGACCAGTACCAGGGGAGTGACTAAGTTATTCTGTATATTACGGGAAGCCTTCCACAAGCTCCTGACAGTAAACTGGTGAACGTTTGACCCACTCCTTGTCTCAGAACTGATGTCACCGAGTCAGGTTTGAGGATCTTTCCCGTACAGACACTTCTACATCTGTACCTTGTTGTCCTTAAGCTAATTTCATGAAAGTTTGGACATGTGCTTGGGTCCACTCCTTGTCCATTTGGAACCCCATCTGCGACCAAGCTTCAAACACAATGGTCCGTCTCATCAGACCTCAGAATACTTATCCCGTTGTACTTTACTCTAGTTGTCGTATTGGTAGAAGGCGCTTTTGTAGCAGTGGCTTCTCTCAGCTTGTGTTTGTACATGACTTCTTTCACTTTTTATTTTTTCCCGTTACCTCCAAAAATGTTTCCATTGTTCTTGCCTGTTGTTCTCGGATTCATTAGCACCGCCTGAAGCAGATCGGTTCTCTTTTTGGAGTGACATGCGGCTCTGTTGTCCCATGTTGTCTGCACTTGCATGTTATTGTTTGAACAGATAAACACGGTTCTTTCAGCTGTTTAGAAATCGCTCCCGGGGATCAGCCAGACTTGAGGAATTTGTCCACAGTGCTCCTCATGGGGTGTGTGGATTTGATGGATCTGATTTCTTAGGATTTTCACATGATGCAAACAAAACAGAAGGTTGGTCAAATTGGACCAAAGTCAGAGAGTCAGGAGGTCAATGATGTCAAGGCTTCTGAAAACATGACACCACTTTAAGAAACTTGTATGTAAACTTCTGACCCTCTGTTTTGAATAAAAGCTGAAATATAATCATAATACTTCTAATATTTTGATGTTTCACATTACTGCACAGATAAAGTACCAGAAATTGTGAAATATGTGGATGAAAAGTTAAAAGGTTTTTGCTAAGGTGTATGTAAGCTTATGACCTCAACCGTAATTCCATTTTCATATTTCACAGATAATACATTTATTAATCGTTTTAGATCATGTTTTCTCGCACAAAACTCTTTACAAATGCACATGTTTTTAATTATGTATTTGTCATCTAATATAAAATCAGCACTACATTTCTGCTAAACGCCATTAGAAAAGTCCTAAACAGGTCTTGAGCGTCCTTTAAGCAAAGCTGGAGTTCCAGAGAGCAGTGTCAGTGTGGGGCCTTCAGGAGCGTCCATGGGGGTGTCCCAGAGTGCAGTAAGGGGGGGGGGGGTCACCTCAGCCGGATGAACCAGTACAGCACAAAGAAGACAAAGAGGCAGAAGAGCAGCATGTAGCACAGCACCTTGCTCTGGCTCCCTCTGGACAGCTGCTTGACCCGGCCAATCGTGGCCCCCAGGAGCCCCCCCGTCGAGTCGAAGTCCGAGTCCTGCAAAGGGTACACTGTCAGCACACATCAACGGGCCTGCCAGCATGACTATCTATGCTCTTTGCAATGAACAGAAGATCTTTGTTATTAAAATACAATAAAAACATCTCTGTACTGGGCTGTACTGGGTCACTTTTAATGACGATTATAGCTCAATTCTGTTCTTTGTTAAATTAGTGATGTAAGGACTTTAAATATTAACATCTTACTAAACGAGCATGAGGTTAATAAATGTTTTATTATGACTATTTATAATTTATGCAAATATCGATCGGTTTTACCTAGCAAAAACACATGCAATCAAACTGTCTAATGGTGACATGGAGAACTTGCTGATCAGATGATTGAGGTCGCCCGCTGGTAAGTTTTCAATCTCTTCTGTGTCGTTACCAATGCTTTTTAGATATTTGTGGAGTATGTTCATGTCCAACTTGGTTTTCCTAATCATGTTTTTACCTTTCTGGTCTGAAACCAAGTTGTACATCTCTTCTTGACTGTTAGGAGTTGTGTTTTTGTCGTTATTTGCTGTTATTATCTGGCTCTTTGAACTCGTCCGGATAATAGAATTCACTGGAGAATGCTCCCAGTCGTCGCTCATTTCTTTTTTACCGAGAAAATATATCATAATTGATACGCGCTGCGGACCAATTGTCATGGTAACGGTCCGAGATCAGACCGCAAATCAGCCAATCAGAGCGCGCGTACGATCCAAGTCATATAATGACACTTATCACAATACATTTAGATGTAGTCGATATTTGCTCTTATGAATCAAACAATACTTTAGGGAATATCAAGATATTGTTCCAACCAAAATATTCAGCTCTCTAAGTGTAAGACAAGGTGGTAGGGGATCTAACTAATGCTATGAGAAAATGTTGGAATGAATTGTTATGCAAAAATGTATTGACTTTATTTTACTTAATGACAAAACCTATTTTCATCTAGAAAATCTATACATCATTTTCAGGACTGATTCAAAGGCCTCATAAACTAAATGGCATCGATTCACCAAGTCCAGCAATACAGCAGATTGGTGAGAAATTTGGTAGAATTTAAGGGAGTTGTAAACTTGCCAGACTGTTCAAAAAAGTGCTTGGGAAGATATTTGGTGATGGGGCCACTCAAGATTCATTCCATGAGTGGAGTTACAATTGCTTCCAAAATATCTTGTCAAACCAATGGTGCTCTGTGCCCTCTTTTATGATCATCTTCAAGTTAAATATTTCTCTCCAGTTTGTGAGTTTCATTGATGCATTTTTTTTCATGCGATGGCCATTTGTGTCTTTGTTAGTCCTGAATCGTTGACCATTGCAGTGTGTTGTGATTGACACATGTAACTTTTCCCGCCTCCCCAAACTTACCATCTCGTCCAGCATCTTGTTCTGGTATTTGACTTCAGTTCCAATGTCAATGGTTAACTGTGGAGACACAGAAAGCATTGGGGTCGTCTTATACGTGAAGAGGCAATATAATCTCAATTTGGATGAGTGGACCACCATGGTATATTGCAGTGTTTTTAAACCCGTGGTACGTTAAAGTGCCGTGGTACATCAGCGTGCCGTGGTATGTTAGCGTGCCGTGGTACGTTAGAGTGCTTGAGATGTCGTTTGGTGTGCCTTGGGAAATATACCGATATCACCTCATTGGTCAAAATAATGTGAAAAGAATGTAATTTGAGAAGATTATAAAGATCTTTAGTGCTTGTTTCATTTTATCTACTTTAAATAGAATGACAATACTGTCACGATAAAAGCTGCAGATTCATGTTTATATCAGTTTGTGGTGTGTCATGTGAGTGTTTTCAACAAAAACAGGTGCACCACATCTCAAAAAGGTTGGGAAACACTGGTATAATGTACTGCTACAATCCTAGTATTAGGGGTGGGCAAAATATATCTTGGACAATAATATCGCAAAAGTGAATTTGACGATATGCTTTTTGTATTTTTTTCTCTTTTTTCAATACTTGTTGCCCATTTGTCAAATGGGCGACAATCACTGCTTTGTTGTTAAATTTCAGTAAATATTGTGCAAGCCTTTTTGGATGTGTTCTTCCCGTGTCACTTGAATTTGACTTTTATTGTTAATATATGTTTGTGCAAGTTTGCTATTTTGCTATTTGATTAACATTACAGATCATTTTGTGTAAAAATTATTATTAAAAAACAAAAAAACAAGAGGGGCAATATCGTTATCGGGAGTTGGGAAAAAAATATCAACATATTTATTTTTTTCCATCTCGCCCACCCCTACCTACTATACAGAAAGCCTGGGGCAGCGTGGAGCAGTCTGCAACACTTACATCTCTGAGGGCGCTGACTTTAGCCCGCAGTCCCTCCTGCAGCTGCTCGTTCTCCTCCTCATACACACTGTAGCCACTCGCAACATAGTGACCCGGGCCTCCCTCACCTAGGCATCAACAACACATTAGTAGACAAAGTTAAAGGCACACATTATGAAAAACTGACTTTTAAAAACTATTCATCATGTTACATTGTCCCCAATCAATAACAAGATCGGTTGTAAGATTCATCCATTACAGTGATTTTCAGCACAAACGTGTCCCCTCACAGAACACACCATGTTGAAACTCAAGTTTATTATCGTATACACCTGATGATAATATAAAAGTGAAAGTACTATGCACCTTCCAGCAGATACAGAGATCATATGTTTACATAGACCTTGGTTGAAAAATCAGGAATTGAGAAAAACGAAACAAAAAATATGTTAGAGATTAAAGGCACAGTTAACTTAGTTCATGTAAACTTCTGACCCTCCAATTATATTATGGATTAAAAAAATGATCATTTGGAATCATTAAAAGTATTAGTAGTAGTTGTAGTTAGATTATTAGTTTGTTAAAATTATGACCTCAACTCGAAACGTAGTTAATAATAATAATAATGCATCGGTTTTGTATAGACGCATCACATTATTCATTCACTCCACACACGCTCGTGAGAAACTGCTTCTGTAGCCACAGCTGTCCTGGGGCAGACTGACAATAGCGTTATATCCATAGACTGTAATATCATGATACAGCGGATTTAACGGTCTTTAACTCCTTCTGGTCCTCTCAGTTCATACTTTGAGGAAACGAAAGCACCTTCCAGATGTAAGCAATGTGAGGCGACAAAGGTTAGAGATGTGAATTGTTTTTAGACAGAGCTCCAGCCTGTGACCAAACTAACAACCCTTTTATGTTTACATGTGGAGGGCGGAAAGCCCCGCTGCTAACAGACCCACGGTGCTAGCACCGATAACAAGTGCTAGCCTTAAATCCACGGTGCTATCCCAGAGTGTCCAAGACCTAAACAAGTCTTAGCGTCGCTCAGTAAACAACCTACTTCCACAGTTATAAATGCTCAGTACTATAAACAACACAACATGGTTCACAGTTATGGTTCATACCGAGATTGGCACGTCTCATGTCCGGTCTCCTGCGGACAGCTCCCGCACAGCTCTCTGCTCAGACACGGGGAAGGTCCAGAGAGGACCGGGGGATGTCAGTGAGTGTGGACAGAGGAGGTAGAGGGTCTATGTCTGGGCTGTGGACTGTGGACTCTGCTCTGGGTTGACAGCTGATGGAGGCAAAGCCACGTCATCGAACGGTGGCCGTGAAGGCTCACTTTAAATAATAGATGAAGTCTGACTGTGTGGCAATACATCTGTTTCTAATTTCCAATGTACAGCCATGAATCTATTTCAGAACTCTCCATATTTTACTAATTGGCTTGAAAACGTTTCACTGCCCAAGTTAAAGCTGAGGTACCAAACTTGTTTCATAAATAAAACATTTCCCCATTGTCCAAACACAGTCTATGGTCCAAACAGAAAGAGTCTTGTGAAAGTACACAGTTTTGGACAAATCAAAAAATATCGTTCCATTATCAGCTATCCATCCATCCATCCATCCATCCATTTTCTTCCGCTTTATCCGTTGCCGGGTCGCGGGGGCAGCAGTCTAAGCAGCGTTTAGACTGCTTAGATTATCAGCTAATTTTGCTTTCTTGTAAGAAAGAGTCCATGGCTCACTTTTTAGTCTTTAGTCAGTCTTTCATTTGAGCAAGGGCCATAAATACATGCATATGTAATCACTGCCGAGTCCAGCTGGGGCCGTAATAGCTGAATAGACAAGTCAAATGGTTTGTGTGTCAGGGATGAAGCAGACAGAGACGGATCGTGGTGCGCCAAACTCTGGAAGTTTATTTAAGTTTCTCTCAAGTTCCAGTGGTTTCCATTGTTTCCTTCTCTCAGACAGAATAAAGGCAGTACACACTTTATATAGTCATTGTCACGTCACACATCGAAAGACATACATGTCACACAGAGACAGTCACATCATAGTCAAAATAATCAGAGTCCTTGTAGAGTCCTGCACGTAGGCCATATTGCTATCTAATACTAACACGTGTCAGTACTATCTGAATACTAGACTAAAACGAAAAACGAAGTCGAAAACACCCAGAACAAAAAACAATTATACCGAGCGGAACTCTACAGCAGTGTTTTGACGCAGTCTGTGGATCAGGAAGAGTGATTCACGCTCCGGAGCATGAGTGATGTTTGCCCATCACTACCATATATCTTGGTATATGAAGCCCACAAACACCATTACTGAAGTGGTCATTTTTACACTGAACAAATCTACGCTATTCATTTGAATGCAGGATATTGACAGTTGCCATGCTGGAGAATCACTCATAGATCTCTTGCCAAAATTGCGCGGCCGTGCAGTTACAGCTCTCCATGCTGCTCTCATCTCCAGGCCATCAGACTCTTGCAGATCCACGCTAGATACTTTCAAAAGCTAGCGTTTGCTTCAGCATTCTCGCTCTCCCGACTAGAAGAAACATGAAAAAAGCTTAGGTATTGGGGTTTTATTCCTATCGCAATTCACATTTTCTTTCTTTTGTTTCTTTTACAAAATTTCAAATGGTTCAATTCAATTTACAGTCAGAACTTACATCAAGGTCAGATATTTCTCTTATTTATAATTTACACTCATTACCATAAATAGTTGTATTTTAAAGACACAAAGGACTCTTTAAGTGGTACTGCAACCTCTCTTGCTGGAGGAGAATAGTTGAACCAATGACAAAAGACCTCAAGGATTTCAGTTAATTACAACCAATCAAGGGGCTGTGGGGATGAGCGTGAGCAGGTCTCATCAGTGCTCGTCCTCAAAAAGTTTCACTCTCTCGTCAAAATGAACTTTTAATCAAAAGTTTCTGCCAAAAAACGTAACTATATGTTACATCAATAGAGACTGTGCGAATGTTGTATATCATCATTTGCAGTTATTTCACCTGTTCAACCACTGAAGTATTTTGCCTAATTTTTTCACAGATGTGCAAGGCGATTACATACTCCAGATACCTCGAGATCTTCGTCCTCGTCCTCATTGCCCTTAGATCATGCTGGCTTTGGAGCGGCCCAATCTTTCTCCTGAGAGCACAGCATGAAACATACACACATGGTACACACTGGTCCAGAAGTGTTAAACTATGCCACAATATTAAACAGCCGTTGTGTTAAAATTGCTCGTTTAAAAAAAAATCTAAAACAAATGCATTTTGACCATGGTTATTGTTGTTTTCCCTTGTATTTTACTCAAACCATAGATTGTATCTATACAATCTATGGGGTTAGCATTGTCCATAGATGGACAATGCTCAAAGCATTTTTTTTTCCAATTACAACAACATTTACCCCATCCTCAATGAGACTAAAGTTTAGCCTTATTTTGTCACAAACTCTCATAACAGGGCAATAACAAAACAAACTATTTCTTCTTATTATTCTGATTGATTCTGATTCTGGCAGTCAGTGAATAAACCTTCAAGAAGCAGATTAAAAATTGTTTTGATGTTGCTGCTGCCAATGCCTCGAACAAGGAGGATTTGGCCTTTCTGTTAGCTCAAAGTGAACCTGGACAGTGTGGAAAGATGGGAACTGTGGATACTCCGTTAGCAAGATCTGACGACAGAAGAACATTTAGAACAACTTCCCATTTTGGTCTCAGGTTATGGAGCTGTACAACTCCTCAGTGTCCCCAAACTACCAAGAGGAACAGGCTATAGCCAAAGCAGTTGTGGGGGAACCAGAAGTTTGGGGCCTTGCTCAACGTATAGAGCAGGGGTCTCAAACCAGTTCCAGAAAGGGCCGTGTAGCTGCAGGTTTTACTTCCAACAGTTCCAAACTGAACAGGAGCACAGATGACTCCACCCTGTAAAACAGCTGCAGTACATTCAAAATGCAGCAGCTCGAGTCCTGACTAGAACCAGGAAGTACGACCACATTAGTCCGGTCCTCAGGTCTCTGCACTGGCTTCCTGTGGCTCAGAGAATAGACTTTAAAACAGCTCTGCTTGTGTACAAGTCTCTCCATGGCCTCGCACCAAAATATATTAGTGACATGTTAGTCCCATATGAACCAGCCCGGACTCTGAGGAGCACAGGGACTGGACTCCTGTTAGTGCCCAGAGTCAGAACTAAACATGGGGAGGCTGCTTTTCAGATTCATGCTGCTAAAATCTGGAACAGTCTTCCTGAAGATGTGAGACAGGCCTCCTCTCTGACAATGTTTAAAACCAGGTTAAAGACAGTTCTGTTTAACTGTGCATACAACTGAGGGATTTTATATTTTTATCTTTCTTTTTAATGTTCTGTGATTATTTATGATTTTAATGCTTTCTTGTTTTGTTCAGCACTTTGAATTGCCTTGTGTATGAATTGTGCTACAGGGCGACAGTAGCTCAGTTGGTAGAGCATTGGCCTTAAGGCCAGAAGGTCGTGGGTTCAATTCCCACCTCTGCACCTTCTCCACCGACTCCCACTGATGACTGCTGTCGTTGTGTCCTTGGGCAAGACACTTAACCCCACTTTGCCCAAAGCCCCCTCTGAAAGATCAAGGCTCTGCTCACACTCAGAGAGCAGCCGTCTTCCTGTGGACTCACCACCTGCAGAGGGTCAGTGAGGGGCTGGTGCTATGAGACTTGGGTGGCATCTCTGACTGCCACCCCCCTGACCCAGAAATGGATTAAAGGGTAGAAAATGGATGGATGGATGGATGAATTGTGCTATATAAATAAACTTGCCTTGCCTTGCCTTCCTCAAATCTTCGGGTTAAAACTGAGGAAATGGGTGGAGTCATCTGTGCTCCTGCTCAGTTTGGAACAGTTGGAAGTAAAACCTGTAGCCACATGGCCCTTTCTGGAACCGGTTTGAGACCCCTGGTATACTGTAGAGGGAATCCGTTTGACATGACAGCCTCCAAGACTGGTCGAAGCAATGGAGCTTGTATCCTGAATGAACAGCAGCTCCAGAGAGATCTATTCTTTGCAGTCAGTCATATAATCATTTTTAGAACTTTTGCATGTTTACAATCTTCATCCCCATTGATTATTTGTCATTTTTCATTCATGTAAAATTGTAGATTCAATTGCTTGATATCAGTTCTGATGTTAGAACAAATTTGTATTGTTTTATGTTGTATTTATTCCAAGACGATTAGCGCACCAAGGGGCCGGAGGGAAATATTTAAAGATCACTGAGGGAGGGGTAAATGTGGTCCTATCAATTCAAAAATTCAGGAGAGTTTTCTCATTTAATCCAACACATTTCATGGGTTGGAGTTTAGAATGACCAACTTCCTACTGTAGTAAATGAGGAAATTGGCTCCAGCTTGTTTTCATTCTAAACAAAACATCTTGGTAACACTTTATATTAGCCCTCACTAATTAACAGGTAATTAACGCACCCACATGGGAACGTGTCAGTTAGTAGTTAGGTAAATTATGAATTAGGACATGTAGAATAAGGACTAATAAGTGCTTAATACCAATTAAGAGCTGATTAACCATAAAGGATACACAAATGATCACTTCCGGTGTTCTCATGCTGTATGAAGACTTCTGCAGGCCCAGCTTTTCTATTTTTAAAATAATGACAAAATCATGTTTCATTTTACTTTCACTTCACAATTGTCTGTTACTTGTGTGTGAAATTTTGATTTGAAAAAAATCTAAATAAATATGTATTCATGGCAAAATGTGCAAAAGTTCAAGGTACACTGTAATACGCTGTTGATTAGTGAGAGTTAAACTAAAGTGTGACAAAGGTTTTACAAATGCGTCTCTGTGTTTCAGATGGAACTATCTGGACGTGGCGCTGCTGCTGTGTGTGGTGGACATCGTCATGACGACTCCTCCCATCATCCACCTGCTCTCTGTGGACATGAACATGTGGAGCTGTCTGAGGGTGCCCAGCATAGCACAAGGTATGCACACACACACACACGTACACACACCTACATTTACACAACGTGATAGTACAAGGCACACAATACACACACGAGGTACAAAAAACACACACAGTGGCACAGTTCAGGTGCATTCAATAATTGTGTTAGACAATAGTTATACCACAATCATATACATACAGTCATTACACACAGACTGTTGTTCTCAAAATCCACTACCAGTGTTAGGGAGTAACGGAATACATGTAACGCCATAATGTGTTCAGATTACTCTTTATGAGTAACTGTAAATCATGGGAATACTCATTTTCTCATATTACGTTTTTTATGTAAAAAAAAAAAAACAAAGAAAATGTTGCACCCACAGACTATTGTATAATCAGCTCATGGGACACGGAAACAACACAAGTCGGCCATTCATTCATTCACGTACACAGGTGAGATTTTCCAATGCATGTATTCAGAATACAGTTACTATTTTTGACGGAATATGTTACAAATATATTTTAGGTCATGTATTCAGTAATCTCTAACGTAACATTTTCAAAGTATTCTTCCCAACACTGTTCACAAGTAACACTTTACCTGTTGTTATTATTGCTACATATTACATGAATTTGATATTTCTGTTCCAATAATTCACTGGTGATAGTGATTCAAATGAGGAACAGGTGACCTAAAAGCCACTTTAAACTAAAAGGTTAAAGCATTGACAACAAGTTACTTATTCCAGTAATTATAAAAAACTAAAATAGTGTATCATTGCCATTGTCAGCCTACCGAGAAATTCATGTCAGAATCAGAATTCTTGTATGGCTATGTGAGTAACAAGAAGTCACAAACAAGGAAATAGCTTTGCTTTTTCAAACAAAGTCGAGAATAGAATAAGGCATGCATAAATAAAAATCTACATACATTTCTCCAAATTATTACTATATACAAGTGCACTAGGTGCACACAATTAATCCTAATATATAATAAATATCCTTTGGTGATTTTAAACTACCTAACTTAAATAATATATTCAGTTTATTTTTTTGTTGGAGTCTTAAACTTCTGTGTTTCCCAACAATGGGCGTCCAAACTTTTAGCAGAGCATTGTTGTGAAGCACAGAAGTTTAAGACTCCAACAAAACCCCTCCAGCATCACGGATAAGGTCAAGTATCGTTGTTATCAACATAATCGTCAAAACAGTATCAAGCAAGATGGAGGTGCAGAGGTGAAGTGCCCGAACATGAGATATATTGTGTATTCGTTTGGCGCCCTTTTACGGCAGTCCTGAACCTGGACACGCATAAACATTATGTCATGGAGGAAATGGAATGGTTCAGGCTCCACATTCATTCTGTTCAAAAAGAGTTAAACTAATAGAATGGGCAGCCTCCAAATTGAACTGCGGCTCATTGTCGGACACAGTGACATGGCCAGTGCTTGACCTTCATCTGGCCCAGTCTAGACATTATGCACATCTGTGCACGGTGCTCTCTGGGGCCATAACATTTATCTCTCTGCTCAACATTGAAGGTTAAGGTACACTTTATTGCACCATAGGACATCCTGAGGCGCTCTCTAATCTTGGTGCAGCGTCCAGGAAAACATAACACAATACATTAAAGTCTAAACTGAACCTTAACCAATAGCGGCCACACTTTCCTCTTTTGCGCAGCAGTTAGCGCATGTTCCTGAGTTCAATTCCTGGACTGGACGGGGGCCATCTTTTTTTGAGCTTGCATGTTCTCCCCATGTCTGTGTAGGTTTACACCAGGTATTTCGGTTTCCCTAAAAACACGTCTCTCTGATGTCACCGTCTGTGGAATGATTACCTTACTTACATACAGTACAGTGCATTATTTATTTTCACATGCTTTTTTTTAGGCTTTTTCACACCTTTACCAGCATTTACCAGTTACTAATTGTTCACAGCCTGAAATTATCAAAAGTTGCAGTGCATAAAACCATCAATCAAAAGTAATTAGATCAATATCAAGTCTTTCCTGTTTGGTCCTGAGGGCTTGATCCGGACACACAGAAGATTGTATCGCTGTCTCTCACTCTCGCCTGTCATGCTTTCTTAGTCGCCAGTATTCATCACCTCAAGTTAAAGTAAAAAGATTCTCTCATACCATTATTGATAACATAATCAACAAATCAATATGGAAAATCAACAGGACATGAACCAGAACCCAGGGGAGAGAGGTCGAGGCTCTAAACCTCCAAAAATTCATAACATTGATTTGCACACTCACAGATTTAGGTATTTTTGCTTGATGAAAGACATCTCTGCTCTTGGATACTTCAAGTGTCATCTGAGTAGAGCTTGCAGGGCCTTGGATTCTTATAATACTTGATAAAATACTTGATTTGATTTACTAACAATACATGTACTATAATAATAGACCATGGGCTATTTTTGTCGTATATAAAACATTTTATCCATCCATCCATCCATCCATCCATTTTCTACCCCTTTTCTGGGTCGGGGGGCTGGCCAGAGATGCCACCCAAATCACTGAGCACCAGCCACTGATCCTCCTGCAGGTGGTGAGTCCACAGGAGGAAAACATTTTATCCAGCACAAGAAATAAAAAAACAGAGTCATTGGTCCATAAGGGGCAGGTGACCATGGTCCATAAGGGGCAGGTGACCATGGTCCATCAATGTCCATAAATGTCCGACCTGGATCATCACCACTGTCCTGAGTCCTGTACCTATTGTTATGTTTTTCACAAAATAACAACCTCATCGTTAATTTTATCCAGAACATATTGTCTTTAGTATGTGTGTGCCTGAACAAGCTGTTTTCTGACTGCCAAACCAACTTTGACAAAGGGTTTGTGAGAGTGTTTAGAAAGGTCAGACCACCTCCTTTGAAAATCAGGCAAGCTTTAAAAAGTGATTCAGATGTGTCAGAACATTAGTGGTTTCTATTTGTCGCTACTTTCTGCGGAAAATAACCTCCTTGTAGTTTGGCAAATTGGCTGAACAGGAGCCACATAAAGCTCTACAGGGGTCATGCAGGTTGAGCGTTTCATAGCAGTAGCAGTGGCTCCTGGGGGCCCCCTCCCGTCACTTCTCATTCATGGCTCTATTACTCACAACAGAACAAGTTGTCAGCCGGTTGGGCACGCATGTTCATTTTGCACCACATGAGTGAGGCACAGAGCGGGGCTGGATCACTGCATTTACAAGGATGGGAGGAAAACCTGATTCATCTCCCTGTCCGATTTCAGGGAAACTGGGGGAAATACACCGTAAAGAAGAACTAAATATACTAAATGTGACATTATGGTGTATTCAATAAAAATAATAAAAATAATAACAAAAGAGAGCACACATGTCTTTATTGTGTTCGACTGAAATGTTGTCAAATCCTTGTCAAGAATAACAAGATGAAATCATTTAATATAAAATGTGGTTAAAATAATGAGTAACTACATACAGTATCTAAACAATGTATATTCTATCAGCCCTCTGTATGCCCCACCCACGTCTCTCCTCTCTGAGACTCTAGAAACCTAGTCGCGTGTCCAATACTGTCCCGGCTGTCAACCACTACATCTATACAACCAACCCATGACCCATCAGAGCATTGTTGTTGAGATGTTCATATCAGCATCGTCAAAAGGCCCCAAAGTATTTTTCTTATTAATTTTGTATTTTGTACAAAAACATCCTGCACCACTTAAATCATCAGAGGTGATGAATGTCTGTCTTTATGAATAGTAATCACCTGACATAATCTTATTTTAGTTGCATTACCTGGTCCTAAATACATGATACATGCTTGATACATGATACTGCTCCTATTGATTCCCTGTACAGTGCTGCTAAAACCCCAGATCTGAGCACATCACAAGAAATTATACTTTCAAAAAGACACAGTGTGAGCAGAATAGAAATGGCTGTCATTTCTCACATACTGTAGCTGAATGCCGGTCGACTAATGAAAGGGCCTCTGATGTTACGGGAAAATCGCAAATCAATATCAGCTTATTCATAGCCAGAAGACTGGTATGAATACTCAGTTCGACAAGAGGACCTACGACTTTATAAAGTCCTCCGAGACGACTGCTGTTGTGATTTAGGCCTCTACAATAATACATTTGAATGCCAAACTGTTGCTGTGTCCTTAGGCAAGACACTTCACCCACAGTGCCTTGAATGAATCTGATGTGTGTGTGAATGGTTGGTGGTGGTCGGAGGGGCCGATGGCACATACTGGTTGCCTCGCTTCTGTCAGTGTGCCCCAGGGCAGCTGTGGCTAACGTAGTAGTTTATCACCATCGTGTATGGAGTGAATGAATGACATGAGGAGCGTCTTTGAGGTTTTTTTTCTTTAATCAGTGCTCTATGTGTTTTTATCATTGCATTACTTGTGTGAACTGTTTGATTCTCTGATCTGGGTTGGCGAATTCAACGGTTTTGTAAAGTCCTCCGAGATAACTACTGTTGTGATTTAGGGCTATACAAGAATACATGTAATTGAATAGATTTTATTCTTGTTTCAATCCATGTTTCAAAACAACTACAACTATTACATTCTTCTGCCGCACTCACACTGTCTAACTGAAACAAATTCTGTAGCTAACTTTGATGCTACATTGTTTACAGTATGTTGAGCAAATTTTATCCCTGTTGGCATTACGGCCAAGCCTGGTTTGGCAAAGTGTATCACTCTGTAGGGGGCGCTAGTGCTGCAATTTCATGTTTTTCACTTTCAGCTGACCTAGACCCCAGAGTTGAACAACTGATTCAAATTTGGTGTTTGTATGTGTAAATGGGAGCAAATTTAAAGTTCTCAAAGTTAGGTTAAAAGAAGTCTAGTCTCTGCTGCTTGAGCACCGTTTAACCGATCACAATTCTGTGGCTATCTTTAGATGCTACATGTGTTTAGCTCTTTTTACAACTCATAATTATTTTTTTATACATTTTTTCAAGATTATGTCTCATTTATGAAAGAAAAAGTTAAGTATCCGGGTTTTGATTTTGAGAAATGTGGTTAGGATTCGGCGCTTTGACCCTAACAGAGCACTGCATGATGATTGCAGAATGAAATGAAATCCCCCAGAGCCGCCCTAGACCCTGATGGTGGGAGCGAGGAGAAACGTGAAAGATGGAGGAGGAGGAGGGTTGTGGCATGAATGAAGCTTCCCTGCTATATGGGGCGAGGAAGCTCCATGTTCATCCCCTTAATCCAGTTCTGGTCAGGACCAGAGCTCTTGGTCAGGACTTATTAAACAGGTTTTTAGTTTTTTAGTGGTTGGGGAAACTGGAGCACCCAGAGGAAAACTACACAGGCATGGGGAGAACATGCAAACTCCACTCAGAAAAACCCTGCTCCAACCAAGATTCCAACCCAGGACCCTCTTGCTGAGACCTCAGCTGTAGTTATCTGCAGTTCATCCAGAGTGATCATGGGCCTCTTGGCTGCATCTCTGATCAGTCTTCTCCATGGATCTATTATATTAACTGGATAGGGTATTACTAGCTTGTAGCTGAAGAACCCATGTGCTCAGGGGATTCTCGTGGTACTGCAGACTGAACCAGACTAAATTCACGTGGGCTACCCAGAAATTTTCCCCCTAGAACTCAATGCAAATTAAAACAGCTCGACCTCAGCTGACAGGGAACCTACAGCTTTCATAAAGGTCGGATTTTGTGGGGATTTTAGTGTCCCTTGTCATCCTGAACTTTTTTTCTTCCTAAATCTTTCGGTTTTGTTTAAATCCACACTTTAGACCCACACACGCGTGTTTGGCGCAACGCATTATGGGAGATCATTCACTGCGCAGAACCGGGAGGACCAGACGATGCCCAAATACAGGCGAGTTTCCCATAGATCTTTGCGAGTTTCAGGCAACTTCCGCTAATCTTTCAGCCCCCATGCCGTCACAAAGCGCCACTGAGCACAACCATTCATTTGAATAGGGCGCCATCTTGGATCGCCGGGGCTTGGTCTTCTCCTTGTTTGAGATGAAAGTTTGGAGGGACGGCCGGGTCTTGGTAGATTTGCAGTGGTCTGATACTCCTTCCATTTCAATATAATTGCTTGCACAGTGCTCCTTGAGATGTTTAAAGCTTGGGAAATCTTTTTGTATCCAAATCCGGCTTTAAACTTCTCCACAACAGTATCTCGGACCTGCCTGGTGTGTTCCTTTGTCTTCATGGTTCTCTCTGCGCTTTAAACAGAACCCTGAGACTATCAAAGAGCAGGTGCATTTATACGGAGACTTGATTACACACAGGTGCATTCTATTTATCATCATCAGTCATTTAGGACAACATTGGATCATTCAAAGATCCTCATTGAACTTCTGGACTGAGTTTGCTGCACTGAAAGTAAAGGGGCTGAATAATATTGCACGCCCCACTTTTCAGTTTTTTATTTTTTTTTAAAGTTTAAATTATCCAATACATTTCGTTCCACTTCACGACTGTGTCCCACTTGTTGTTGATTCATGACAAAAAATTTAAATTTTATATCTTTATGTTTGAAGACTGAAATGTGGCAAAATGTTGAAAGCTTCAAGGGGGCCGAATACTTTCGCAAGGCACTGTATATATTTCATATATATCATCAAAACTGACAGAATTTCCGTATAGATGCACTCAATCAAAAATCCTCTATAGATCTGTAGAACTGAAGTCGTAAAATGTAGTGACATTTTACCATTTAAGTTCAACAGCTCTCCAAATGTACCTAAATAAAGCAAAATTTAATACCTGGCCCTTCAGAGAGCAGCACCTGACAACAGCCCAACCAACCAGGAAGCAGAGAATTAATAATCTTTATTTGAATTGGGACAGTGCACATTCATCAACATGTGTTTTTAACATGTAAATGTGCCAGAGTTAGCCATGTAGGCTAATTTTCATCCGTAGTCCCATGGCAGGTTGATATTAAGACAGATAAAGCATACAACAGGCACACACAGACACACACATACAAACCCACACAGAGACACACACCATCACAGAGACATAACAAAACAGGGTATGTAAGACTGAGCAAGGCCTTGTGCCAATACTCGCACTTCCACCCTCACGTCATCGACTAGTCAAGTGCGCAAAAGGGGATCATTTGCGCACTTGACTAGTCGATGACGTAACCTGCTCTCAGTGTCACTGTCCCAATTCCGCCTTTTTTGCACGCTTGTAACCTGCGCACTCAAACCCTTAGTGCACAAATGCACACTTCCTAGAGGAGAGTAGGGTGCAGTGTGGGTTTTGAGACCAATGTCTGTCTTTTTTGTAGAAGAGAGTGCCATCTGCTGGCCACACATGCACACAACACTCCACTGCTCCAAGATTAGTGAAGCAGGGTCCATTCCAACATCAGCCCACTATCACTGTAAAAAGTGTTGCTTTTATCAGAAACAAAAAAAATACCGTAAGAGGTTCCATCTGCCTTTTTGAGTTCTATCAACTTCAGTTCTTTATTAAGTAATAAAGAATATTAAATTCAATTTGACAGAATGCAAAACAATTACTTTGAAGTGATTGATTTACTTAATATTTGTGTGTCGTTTCAAAGCAAAACTATAACTAGTAGGTGATCAACTTACTTCATATTTTTGTGTTCATTCTAAGTATTACTTAAACGTCCACTCCGAGAAAGTTTGTTAGATCTTTAATCACCACATCGAACGGTCCTGAGCTCTAATTTTCTCATTCTGAGAAGTAATAATGCTTCCAACTCATGACCATTAAATAATCTCTAAAATAATAAAGATAACCCAGGAAGTATAGGGCTGCTACTATAGTAGTTATCTCAGTGAACTTAACAAAACTGTTGAAATCGCCAACACAGTTCAGAGAATCAAGAGATAAGACACAAAGAATAGAGAACAAACGTGCATTGGTCCATAGGGAGTTGACCAATGTCCATAAGTGTTGAATCTTAAGAGTCCTGGATCAACACAGTCCTTCTTGTTAGACACTTACACCCTCCTGCATCGGCAAGGAATAACTAAGTGAGAAACCTCAGGGAGGTCCACATTGAGAGAGGGATCTGCTCCACACGGATGGACGGACTATAGATCCAGGACCTAAGCTACAGAACAAGGACCAAGGCCACTTGTAGGTTGCAGAAACGAGGACTGAAGCTGCTCCCAGGCGGGGATGGGGTGTGGCCCATAAGGTATTCTGCAGGTGCAGATGGAGGGGACCGGGTTCAGGGGTCCCATCATCACGCCATGAAACAGACAATGGAACAACGGGTGAATAGCAATGAAAAGACTGCAGTCAAAATCCTAGAAAAAAGAAATGTCAATGTTATCATTACACATATTACAGCAAAAAAAAAGGACAAAATCTATGATCTATTGTTTAGGATAATCGATGATAGATGTGCATTCATCCATCCATCCATTTTCCACCCTTTAATCCATTTCTGGGTCAGGGGGGTGGCAATCAGAGATGCCACCCAAGCCTCATAGCACCAGCCCCTCACTGACCCTCTGCAGGTGGTGAGTCCACAGGAGGACGGCTGCTCTCTGAGTGTGAGCATAGCCTTGATCTTTCAGTGGGGGCTTTGGGCAAAGTGGGGTTAAGTGTCTTGCCCAAGGACACAATGACAGCAGTCATCAGTGGGAATCGGTGGAGAAGGTGGAGAGGTGGGAATTGAACCCACGACCTTCAGGCCTGAAGGCCAATGCTCTACCAACTGAGCTACTGTCGCCCCCTGTGATGATGTGCATTCATCAAACTGAAATTTCCCCATTGTGGGACGAATAAAGGACCTTCTTCTAATACAATAATACAATAATAAAATAAAATAAAAGTCTAGAGCTACAGTAGTGGAGTACACACAGTAGTCAGCGGCATCATGATGTAATTACAGATGTTTATATTGTACTTTAGCCGTTTATAGTTGTAGGAATTTTAAGTGTACTTAGTACACTTGTATGTAGTCATTTAAAAAATATTTTGTGGATTGTTTTTTCTTTATGCAAGCCTTATTCTATGTTTACTTTATAATCTCCAAGTTTTTGACCTCTTGTTACTCAAAATAGAAATACTAAGAATTCTGATTCTGAATTTGTAAGGTATGCACTGATGCAAGAAAAAGCAGCACATAACTTCCTTTTAAGAAAACAAATCTGTAAGCTGTGGTCCGTCTGTGTTTACCTGCACATTGTTGTTTGCAGTTTAAGTTGTCCTAAGTGGAGGTGTTCCCACTCAGTGCGTCTTGTCCCGTACCACGCATGTGCTGCTTTGGGGGCGGCATTACTCACAGCTCACAGGAACACACTCTCACAAAGCAGAAGTACCGCTCCAGTCTGCCATACCAGCAACTAAACCACTCGCATTCTCGCCTTCAGCACCATTTAGTTTTGTTTCAGGGAGCTGTTTTTGTCGTTTATCTTTATTTATTGTCTAAAGTGAGAATTCTGACCAAAGTGCAACAAGAGAAGTCCAGAGAAATGAGTCTCCAAGTAAGTGACAGTTGACGTGTTTGTGAATGATGTTGTGAGATCATATTCAAAATGCTTTTTAAAAACTGTGTAGACAAGTATGTACTTTGCAGTTTCTTTTTGTTTGTGTGGAGGTTTTTAGATTTTGTTTCATTTTTTAACTCAAAGCTGTAGCACAAAATGTTTGTCTCATAATTTTGTAAAATAGACAGAGGACCAAGTGACACACACAGGAAGTATGAAGGATGAAGATATCTGCTTCCTTCTTTCACTGTTTGAAAATCTAGTTTAATATGATATAATAAGGGTTAGGGTTAAAAGCAGAGATTTCTAGCAACGAGCCACTGTCTGAGATGGTTAATTTGTTTAAAGGTGACGTGATCATGCTGTAACTTTTTAGAATATGTCCTGGTTTATTACTAAAAAAACAGGTCAATTTGTGTCTGGGTTGATGAGGTTATCCTTGTCGGACCTTTCACCACGTGGACAATGTCATATTTTGTCATTGTAGACTTTAGTGGCTTACTCACAGTCTTATTCTCAAAGTCTCCCATTACAATGACTTTTTAATAAATATTACAATGTTTAAGGCCCCGTTTAGAAAGAGGCGCTGCGGAGACGCTGCAAAGCAATTCGCAAAAACGTCCAGGCTCCTGCACAGAATTTAGACAACGACGGAAACATTTTTGTTCTAGCGCCTGGCCAGTAGCGGAACTTCACAATACGACACACGCGACCCCCAGACCCCCAGACCCCCAACAACATCCTCCTCGGGTCACCGCAAAGACGTGAAAGAATGCACAAGCATCATTCAGATGTATGTCTGAAAATCAAAATGAATAGTATATAATAAGGGACAGGGAGAGATTTCTAGCAATGAGCCACTGTATGGGATAGCTATTTTGTGTAAAGGTGACGTAACTTTTCCATTTTTCTTAGGAATTATAGCCCCCCGTCCCTCCTTCTTGATGTTTCCACAGTGTTGCACAGGAAAAGACTGCACCTGGCAGACATATGCTGTGCTATGGTAGAGAATGTCGCTCTGTTGACATGGTGATGGGGAGGAGGAGAATTGTGGCACGAGCTGTAAGCTGAGTGAGGATGAGTGAGCAGAAGGCTGATGCAGGCAGAGGCACAGGAGTGTAGTGGTGGGAGGACAAGACGAGATCATGCCCAATGGAGGAGTGGAGGGTTTCTATATCAGTGCTGCTGACTCTATGTGCCGTTCACACAGTGGTAATGTGCAATACTGGGTAATAATATACCATTTGGATTCTGATAATACAGGCATTGTAATAATGTGCAACACTGAAGGAGTAGTAAAAATGTGAAATGTGTAACTGTTTATAATATGATTTCCCATTTATTCTGCCCATTTCTGTGCATCCGCTTTAAGGGACAACTTGAAAATGTCAGATCTATGATTGTTGTATATCTATTGAGTTCCAAGTTTATTTTAAGAGTCCTGTTTTCGAGAGCTTCATACACAGTGTTGGGGAGTAACGGAATACATGTAATGCCATTTTTTTGAGTAACTGTATTCCCTTACAGTTACTTCTTTAAAGTCTAGTATTTAGAATACGGTGGCTGAGTGGATAGCACTCTCGCCTCTCAGCAAGAAGGTCTTGGGTTCGAATCCCGGTCGGACCAGGGCCTTTCTGAGTGGAGTTTGCATGTTCTCCCCGTGTCTGCGTAGGTTTCCTCCGGGTACTCCGGTTTCCCCTACCACTAAAAATATGTCCAATAGTTCTAGCATGCGCCTCCTGTACAGGCCCCGCTCCCATCTCTGTGTGGAGTGAGAGACAAATGCCCAAAAATGAACAATTGTAAACCGCTTTGAGACTCAGATTTGCAGTGAAAAGGCGGTATATAGCTCTCTCTCATTGTGAAGTGAGTGAATGAGCACGCGGGAGTGAGCACGCGTTTTTGACGTCTCTGCTCTGTTTACCCTTTTAAGCCTTTTAAAGCCTTTTAAACACGTTTTTACGGTGTATTAGTGTCTTTTATACACTCTAGTGTTTTTACCTTAAATGCAATGGTTCCAGAGCATCACGTCTTTTAACACAAAGACCCAATCGAAACGCGCTAGCTCGGAGGCTACCACGAGCGCACCACAGACATGGAAAGTGACACTGCAATGACCACGAACGACATTAGTCGCCTCACATTGGAGCTTCGTGAGAGGGACCGTGCCACTATTGCAGACCTCCGTAAAGAAGTCCTTCGCCTCACTGCAGAGCTGCAGGACAAACAGTCACTCGTGTCCAAACTTTTTGATGTCGCTGGCGGGCAGCACTCACGGCGTATGTCACTGAGCGCTGCATACTGTGACACTGTCGTGTGGGAGAGATCTGTCAGCTCTGGGCCCTCTTGTTCTACACCTAAGTGCCCGGTTCGGAATAAAGAGCCTGCGGACTGCGAGGAGCCATCCAGCGCCGTGGCCCATGTCCTGAGCCTTTCAAACCGCTATGCAGCCCTCTCCGCTGACATTCCAGCCCCCTCAGCAGAACCCCTGGACTCTGCAGCAAACTCTACTGCTGTCCGTGGATCCAGGTCCACTGCGAGAAAGACACTCTTAAAGGAAGCTGTCCTCAGACGAAAGAGTGATCATTCCCCTTCTCTGACCCCAGTGCATCACCACCGCTTACCTTCACCGGGTCAGCAGCAGCGACCCGAGCCTGCTCCTCTCGCTGCTCCAGCGTCTCCGTGCACACAGCGTGGGTTGCCCGGAGCTGGGAATCAACACCCCCGCTCCCCTCCATGTGTTCAGCAGCGCCCTGGTTCGGACCCATCCCTGGATGAGCCCGCTGGTTCTGGCCATGGACACCGAGCGCCCTCTCCGCGGCCGCGTCCACTCTTCGCCCCGACTACTTTGATTGTTGGAGATTCCATCGTGAGGCACGTCCGCTTTTTTAACGCGGTCACTCAGTGTTTTCCCGGAGCCACTGTACCAGACCTGCTCATACGTCTCCCTCCTCTGCTTCACTCCCTGCCTGATACCATTTCAAAGGTAATCGTGCATGTGGGGATCAACGACATGAAGCTGCAGCAGTCCGAGGTCACAAAGAAGCATTTTATGGATCTATTCCGTCTTCTCCAGTCCTCTGGGTTGTGTGTTTTTATCTCTGGTCCAGTCCCGACTGTAAACCGGGGAGACTGCTTGTACAGTCGCGTTGTGGCGCTGAATATGTGGCTCCAGTCTACATGCAGCACTTTTAACTTTGTTTTTGTGAACAACTTTGGCCTGTTCTGGAAGCGTCACGTGGCCTATCGTCCAGACGGTCTGCACCCGAACAGATACGGCACCAGTTTATTGATGGACTTTTTACGCCATGTTGTTCAGTGCTCCCCGAGGGGGGCGTGACTGTTTACATCCGAGGCCTCTCGGCCCCAAGCCCCGGCGATCCAAGATGGCGCCCTATTCAAATGAATGGTTGTGCTCAGTGGCGCTTTGTGACAGCATGGGGGCTGAAAGATTAGCGGAAGTTGCCTGAAACTCGCAAAGATCTATGGGAAACTCGCCTGTATTTGGGCATAGTCTGGTCCTCCCGGTTCTGCGCAGTGGATGATCTCCCATAATGCGTTGCGCCAAACACGCGTGTGTGGGTCTCACACCGGGTCTCACGCACGTGCACAGAGGGGCTCGGCCGCGCTCTGACCAATCAGAGCCGTTCATCAGAGCGGGAGTTAGAGCGAGAGCCAGAGGAGCAGAGTTTGTGGCACTAAAGTGTGGATTTAAACAAAACCGAAGGATTTAAGAAGAAAAAAAGTTCAGGATGACAAGGGACACTAAAATCCCCACAAAATCCGATCTTTATGAAAGCTGTAGGTTCTCTGTCAGCTGAGGTTGAGCTGTTTTAATATGCATTGAGTTCTATGGGGAAAATTTCTGGGTGGCCCACGTGAATTTAGTCTGGTTCAGTCTGCAGTACCGCGAGAATCCCCTGAGCACGTGAGTTATTCAGCTACAAGCTAGTAATACCCTATCCAGTTAATATAATACATCCATGCTCGGCCCCCACTACCACCTTCCTCCTCCACTCCAGCACCGGGTGAGTACTGTGGTGCAAACACTGACCCCTGTCCGTCTGGCAGTGTAACGACAGTCCTGCCACTGAACTGTGCTGACTCAGTTATGCATCTGGAACTTAACAAAGTACAACAGAGTTCACTTTTTAAACCAATAGAGACTGTGTGTGTTCCTCGCACCGGCTCAGAAATGTGTTTTAATTTGAATAAACACAAATATAACAGAAGGACAGCAGTTAGACGGTCCAACTCAGGAAATCTAATTCCAATTCTTTGTAGTCAATCAACTAAACCCACTGACACTGACATTATTTTTAACCTTGCTCTGCTTAATGTCAGATCACTATGCAATAAATCCTTTTTAATTAATAATTTTATCTGTTCTTATGATCTTGACTTTATGTTTATGACTGAAACTTGGCTTGACCATAATACAGAAAATGCAGTTTTAATAGAAACAACACCACCAAATTTCAAATTTGAATCAGAAATTCGAGAAAATAAAAGAGGAGGAGGCACAGCAGCAGTTTTTAAAGATTGTATTGTCTCCCATAGAGTACTTCTTGGGAAATTTTCCTCATTTGAGTATGTCTCTTTTAAAATAGAACAAAAACAATCTTCTATTCTTATTATTGTTGTGTACAAGCCGCCACAGTCATGTATAGTTTCACTGATCATTTCACCGAGTTGCTTTCAGTTGTGTGCACAGACTTTGATAGTTTAGTCGTCATAGGTGATTTTAATATACATGTAGATAACGTTAATGATAGATACGCGAAAGAGCTGAGCTCTGTGCTGGAAACCTTTGGTCTCACTCAGCATGTGAGTGGCCCCACCCATAGCAGAGGACACACTCTCGATCTGCTAATTACTAAAGGGGTTAATATCTCAAATGTAAATGTGGCCAATGTTGCTCTGTCAGATCATTTCTGTGTATTTTTTGATATGTGTCTCAATAGTAAAGCACGAGCTGAATCCTCAATTGTTAGAAG